GATCCAAGCTCTTCCCCCCGGTTCCCCCCGGTACAACCGTCTCCCCCTGGCGCGCGCGCTCATCCAGCTGCTTCTTCTGATCATCCGGCAGGTGCTCAATGCGCGCCACCTCCTCCTGGCGCTCGCGCGCGCTCGCCTGCTGCATCGTGACAGGTGTCGCGCGGTAGGGTTTACTCCATAAAGACGCGCGCTCGAAGGGCGCGGCGAGGTATGATGGCGGCGGATGGCGTGACGTTTGACGTGACGTCTGGCGGGCGGCGCTTCGCAGGGGGGCCAAGCGGAGGGCGGAGAGCATTGTCGCGTGCTCGGCCATCAAGATTGCTTCTGCTGCAGAATTGTTTCGCAAAACGCCTGGAATATCCGCAACCCTTCTCTTCTTCCCTCTTTCGAAAGGTGAAGTTAGAAGCACCTCCGTGACGTATCACGTGAAGGAAGAATTCTCAAAAAGCGCGGCATCAGGTTCAGCCGTTCTGAAATCCCCCTTCCTGCCTTGCACTCTTGTCTCAAAGCTCGGCCGGCCAATCGCAGGTCTTTGGCGCTCTTACTTTCCGTACGATCTTTTCACGTGAAGTCCGGCAAGATCTGCTCGCGTATGCAGGCGGAAAGCAATCGACGTGCATGTAACACCGGGGCGAAGTTGAGCCGTAGGAAGTGGTCCGCCTAAGTTACCCGGGCGGCCGGAGACACAGCATGGCCGTGCATGAATCCTTGAGATCATAATGCTACGCAATGTCTCAAACGAGGTCGTTGATCTTAAGATTATTTGCATCTCAGCGGTATGGCCTTCAACTGGCAAAGCCTGCGCCGACTGCAAGCGCATGTCGCTCGACGACATCAGCATGGCCACGGATCGATGACGCCGGCCGCGGCGGCCGGCCGGGCCGTGATCCTATACGTCATATGTATGTACGTTGATGCGTGCACATATGTTTGAAACAAGCGCTGCATGGAGACTGTATGTTATGGCGCCCAATAACGGTCATCCACAGCTCGTTGCATGAGAAGCCTTCAAAGTTTGCATGAAGGCGCGGGATGCGGATCTCACTGAGCGGTACTTTTGGCGCGCGCATCCTGGCCGCGCATCTGCTCGCGCACGCCCTAATGACCAATCGACCTGTCCGCGTAAATCGATTAATATAGGAGCTAGGGCTACCTGTCAATTCACCCACAACAAGGCCCGGCCGGGTAGGACTGTCATGGCACAATCTTGCGACTCAGTGCAAGCCAAATCAAATCGGTAGGTCACTCGAGCTCGTTTAGAGATTCTTGATACGACGGTCGGCTTTATTGCAGGCAGACCGGGCAAGTTGAGTCGGGAGCAATAGAGATTCAACGAGCAAACAAACAGATTGATGCCAGCACGCAGACATCTTGCATGATTGTGCTTTTGAACATGCGGCTCACCATGTTTCTTTGAGTCACACATCTGTCCGAAACGCTCTTCTTGCTAATCCATAGCAACGGCAATATACGTATCTCTCGACTAACTCCCAATCCCTAATCATCCCATACGAGCAGCTTCGCGTAAGCTTCTATCAGGGTTTGCAAGTACTCAAATACAATATCCTTCTCGACGATATACTGCATAAGCGCAACGCTCCGGGCGGCCATGAGCTCCGCCCGCCTATCTTCCCGTATCGCTTTTTTGACTTCGCCCACGAGATTGCTGAAATCCTTTTCTACTCGGACGTAGTGCCGATCGGGCTGGAAAAACAGGTCTAGAAACTCTTCGTAATGCGTGTCCTGTTTGAACACGAGCGCGCCCGTAGACAGCAGCAACGCGAACCTTGAGCTGTACGAGTTACCGTCCACGTCTGGAGAGGAGGAAAGAAATGAATCTTCAATGTTACCCAATTGCGCGATCCGTACTCGAAAAGGCCGAAGAAGCTGAGGAAGCTATGAGTGAAGTTTGACGTGGACAAAGAAAATCAGCAGAAATCAGCTCCGGTTGGATTCCATTCGCTTTCAAACCCATCATTTCGTTTACAAAACGTGGACAATGTCCAAAAAGAGGGTAAGAAAGTCTTTGGGCGGGATAAAGTTGAGTGCCGAGGTACAGACTGTTCGTGTATTTCTCAAGGCTTCCAAGCTGACAGCATGTCATACATTTCTGGAAAAGCGTCGCAATTGTTAATGCAAGTTACCTCTTTGAGCGCTTCTGCGGAGGGGACATTTCGACGAAGTACACGCTGGTCAACCTCTCAGAGTATACGAAGTGCAAAACGCGGTCGCTTCTACTCCCAGGACAAACTGACCGACCCAGTCATCTTTTGAGAGTTTACCCCTTGACGACTTGTAAAAGTTCTATGGCTGTGATGAGAGAAGCACTCTACAAAAGACGGGGCTGAACAACCCTTGAAACGAAGCGGAAGACTTGCTTGATAGTAACAGAAAGCATACAAACTATGGGCGATGCCACTTCCGAACGAAGGACCACTCTAACCCCTCTCGTGTCGTTCGAGGCTGATTAAGTAGTCGGGACATTGCGAAGCTAGACAAAAGCAGTTCAGCATACCTAGAAGTGACGGCCCCAAACCGTAACAGGGGGAAGACTTGACACTCACCGACCAAGTATTTATGCCGCAAATAATCCTTGGTTTTGAGCATCTTGTCCTGAAACCCGACCACTTGCTGCATTTGCTCCACCGCCTCCTCCGTACACTGCCCCTCTTGACACTTGCTCAACGTGCAATTCAACACGTCCGGATTGTCCTGCGAAATCATTGCTAACAGCGGCCTCGGCTTCACGCGCCAGTTGGACTCCGTGTGCCGGCGCCCGGTGGGGGATCCCCTCCAGAGCGCCTGGGGGATGCGCGTTTTCCAGGGGTGGTTATGCACGGCCTCGGTTATGTTGAAGGGTTTAGGGCAGTCGGGCTCGGCCATGAAGTCCTCCCAGTGGCGCGTGCTGAGGCACCGCCAGTACTGCCAACCTGCGGGTTAAGGCAACGGGTTAAGAACGGTTTTCAGGGGTGCGTAAGGACGGCCTCGATTATGTCGAAGGGTTCGGGGCAGTTGGCTCGGCCATGATAGCCTCCGGGTGCGCCGGTTGAGGCATCGCCGATACTGCCAACCATTGAGTTAAGAGAAGCGGGTTAAGGCATTGTCGGGCTCCAAAGAAGGGTGGTTAGCGAGGCATTTAATCGGATCAAGGTGGATGGAATGGGCTATGAAGCCCTTCCTGTGGCGGGGGCTGAGGCCCCGCCGGTCTGCCAGCCTGAAGGTTACAGAGCCGGGTTAGCGTCGCGAACGAGAGTGATTTGCGGAGTGTTGAACTGATATAGGTGGTTGAATTGGGCCACGAAAGTCCCCAGTGGCGGGGGCTAAGGCACCGGCAAATGATGATGTTTCAGGTAAGGGATCAAGGGCGATTTGTGGATGGTTTAAAGTGCCTTTTATTGACTGTCTCAGGGCAAGTAGGCTGAGGCATCGCCAAAGTGGGTAATTTGCGGGTCACAGAAACGAGATTTGGCGGGGTAGCACCGCAGTCCAAGAATGTTGAGACAGGCATCAATTGAAGCACATAATCTAAGCGGAGTTGATAGATGAGTTCAAACTGCAGATTCAGCGAGTGGTTATCATGGACTACTTTAGAGACAGGGTTGGTTAGCACAGTGGTCCTATGTGGGTTCGAAAAGGGTTAGGGACAGCTTTGGTAAAAGGGCAAGCGAGCAGCTCGGCATAGATCAAGTACGCAATTGTATCAACCAAGGCTTTGGTCGCCTACAAAACGCATTTTCTTCTGTCTCGTTTTTCTTAGAATCTTGCGTCTCCGAGAGAATGGGCTTTGCCCCTACGACGCAACTGGCTTTCTTTAATGACACTTTCTCATGAGAACACACTTGCCAAGATGTGAACGCTGTTGAAGCAGACAAAGCTTCGGTGGTGTATGCAAAAACGAAGAAGCAACTCACCGACCCACAACAGATCATAGTTCCTTGGAGTGGAGCAGTAACTGAAGAGCGGCGGCAGCCCCAGTGTGAAGTCCCGCTGCGACATGTTCGGTTCATCATTCAGATTGACCACCAGATCGAACCTGTGCGGAAGCATTCCAATGCGCTGCATCGCCTTAAGCGCGATCGCCGTCTGATCCATTCTATACCAGTACGCCCAGTTGTCTTTCTCCTGCTCCGTCTGCACGATCGTCAGGTTGTCCCCGTGCTTGATCACCCGCATCGCAAAGTTGTTGCGCTTCTTGAGCTTGTCCACTTGCTGGATCGTGAACGTGCGGTTCTCCATGATGTATGGCAACAACTGCTTATCCACCGCATCCTGTATCATTTTCTTCCGCTGCGCGGCGCTCATCTCCTTCCGTTCCAGCAGGATCGGATACAGCGGCTTGTCGCTTTTCAAAAGCGTCCGGTCCAATCTTTCCAAGTCCTGCGGGTTGATATCCATCTCCCCCAGCCGGATCTTTTCATCCAGCTCAGGAGTGAACCCCGTGCCCCACTCTGTAAAGAGAAACATTTTCCCCAGACATAAGAGGCCCACTGCTATGACTGCGGCGATGAAGACAGGCAGCTTGGGTTTGGGCGCTCGGGGGGTGGAGACTTTCAGGCCCCCCTTGGCTGCGGCTACTGTCTGGCGTGCACTTGCCTCCATGTCTAGTTCCTGAACGACATCCTAAAGAGCTAGAAATCTGCTAGAGAGATGCTAAACTCTCAAGGTAAGTCTTGCAGAAGATCTGCCTCTGGGGCTAGGTTTGTGCAGACTGTGTGAGCTCAAAACTGGTTCCTCTCGTGTGGGGCTCTTCTTAGAGCTCACCCTAATGAAGACCCTCTCAAAGCCCTATTGTGTACAAAACTCAAGCAACCAGAAAGTCAAGATTATACTAGCATGGATTCGCTCCGCACGGCAACACTCTACTTTTACCTGTTGTGAGCGCCTGTCTACTAGACTTTGTGCTGTGATTGTCACATCTATCAGCTAGCGCCCATCACATTCTCCAATACTTTTTCCAGCCTTGTTCATGAGAAGCAGGTAAGGCGCAGGATAAACGGAATGGCACCAAGCAAAAGCTTTGAAAGTTCGCTGCACAGAGTTTGCTCGGCTTGTGCGCCTCAAAGCTCAAGCTTCTAAGGACACATCGCACAGCTTTTGAAAAGCGCTCCTTGCATCTCACAATCTCGTGTGATTCTTGCGAAGCGTACTACTACTACTACTAGTAGTACTACTACTGCCATTGGCATCCTGTTTGAAAGTGTTTTCTTGCAGGTCTCACGAGCCCAATCACAAGCCGGAACTTCCGGCGGAAGCTCGCTCTCCAATCTGTGGATGAACCGCAAATCTCGGTTACTAAAACCACGTGGTATGACTGGTAAGGAAAGTAGCCAATCAGCGCCTAGAACGGGCCTCGCAAAGTTCGCGCCAAATTAAGCTGGATAAATTTTGCTAAAAACATCCAAGTTTTCCTCAGGTTGGATTCAAAGGAAGAAAAAGGCCAATGGCACCGATCGTCACAGATACATTGTCATTATTAGTGCGCCAATCCTTCTTTCTCTTGCCCAGCATCCGCAAGATCTAAACCAGAGCAAGGCCATCGCCCTTGAATCGACAGTTTGGATGGTGCATTCTCCCACAGTTTCTTTCTAACCGTAGTATAATGGCTAACACTCTAGACACCCCCGACGGGCACGCTTGGCTCCTCCAGTGCTTACAAGGCACGCTGGACGCCAACCCTGCGGTCAGGGTCAGCGCCGAAACCGCCCTCAAGCAGGCCGCCGACCAAGCCGGTTTCGGCCCCGCTCTAGTTAAGATCGTCCTGAGCTTTGAAGTCCCTTATGGTCTGCGACAACTAGGTGCTGTGGTGGTAAAGAAGTACGTCAAGGAACACTGGCAGGACGGGGAGAAAGGATTTGTCGGACCAGTTGTGAGCGATTCGGACAAGGCGGACGTCCGGAGGCTGCTGCCGGATGGGCTTGCAGACGCGAAGGGGAAGATTCGGACGGCTGTCGGCATGGCGGTTGCGGCCATTGCAAGGATGGACTGGCCGCAGGAGTGGCCGCAGCTAATGGACGTTCTGGTGACGGGGATCAAGGACCGGGGGAATGTGAACAGAAGTAAGTCTGATCTTTGCGTGGACGTTTGTGCTCACTTTGGCCTGCGGTGGTACAAAGTGCGCAAAAATCTATTCCCGACGCATCTGATGGACGTTCTGGTGATCAGGACTGCGGATCAATTCAATGTGGAGTAGGAGAGACACGGTTTGCGGATATTTGTGCTCATGGAGACTTGTGGTGGCATTAAGTAGGTAGATAATATTCAGATAAGTGCGGTGAACCTCTTCAGTTGGATGGGTATTGGTAGATTGTCTCCACACTGACTGACTATGGCAATGATTGCCGCTGGAAAGCTGGATGTAGTGGTGGTTCTTAGTAAAACCAAACTTGATACAAAATGCTTGATAGCAGCCCTGAAAGTTTTCGGCAAAAGTTGCAAAAGCGGTTATGTTTGTTGGCAGGTCCAGCATTGTTCTCAACCGACATCCTTTCCGGCCCATATAAGTGCGGCAATCTTCCGATGAGAATGCGGCCAGCCATCTGACAATTCACTGTGTTCGGTAGAAGCTAAGAAGACAAAAAGAGGGAACGTCCATGCAGCGAGTGCCGTGTTTAGCTGCTCTCCTTGTGCCCTCAGGGACCCCTGCGCTGTTCTTCGTTCTGTCTTTCCATCCGCAAATGAATCTGAATCCTGGTTGCATTCTCAATCGCGCACCTCTCATCCAGGAAGCTCATCTCTTCACCGAAAGTGCTTACAGCTTTTCTTCTCTATCAGTGCAAGGATCCCTGCGCTGCCTCTCCCTCTTTGCTGGCGACATCGACGATGCTCAGATGCCGCGGGTGATCGCTGTGCTCTTCCCGGAGCTTCTGGCGATCGTCTCAAGCGGGGATGCATACGATCCGTCCATTCAGAGACGGGCGCTCAGCATCGTGCACAGCTGCATTGCGACACTCGGGCTCATGAGTGGGGTCTATCTGGTGAGGAACTTTTGGGAGCGGTGTGAATGGAATAGCAATTCGGTTGCAAGGTTGTGGACTTCAAGGGGACCGATGTGAACTTAAGGACTTCATTACACGATGCAAGAGAAGTGCAAAGTGTGGTTCAGTCGGTCAGTTTGCGGTCAGTTTTATGACAGGGATGACTGCTTTGCTGACAGATGTGTGTCTCTGGGATGTACAGAAGATGGCTGAAACATTGCAAGTTGGATCAGATGAGTCTGACAAGCTTTGGGGGGAGAATCATGAGCGTGATCTCAGCCCACGGGGCCTTCAGCTTCTTCAAGTGGCGATTCAGCTGCCTGGCAAACCCATGCAAACAGTTTGTCTCTATTCAATTCACCCTGAAAGATTTCCAAACGAAAGGCTGAAGACTTGACCCTGAACCTCTGCAGAAAGAGACGCGCGATCTGCTGGCCCCCATCATCCCTGCGTGGCTGGACCAGTTTGCGCGCCTTCTGGCGATGCCCCTCGCGGCGGAGGACATGGACAACCTGGGCCTGAAACTAGAGGTGGGACCTTGTTCTAGGTGTCAGATCCTGAATCTGAGTTTTTGGAAGTGCGCTAGCCCTGTTGACTTTGTTTGCGGGTTAAACATGGGGACAGTTTACGTTCTTGAAGCTACTTAGTTGATTCTCCTACCAGCTGTTTGAACTGAGTACTTCTGGCGCAATTGTTAAGTGTTGTCGAGTATAAGATAACCCCCTCCGTATGTGGATAAGAAACCACACAAGTGGTCCATACCTGTTTCATCCCGAATCACCCCCCCTGACCCGCCCGCTAACCCGTTTTCCGCCAGGTCATCAAAACGCTCCAGCAGGTCGTCCAGAACTTCGCAAAACTTGCGGTCAGGGACCTGCCACGTGTCCTTGGCGCACTCTGGCAGACGTACGTCAAGGGCGCGGCCGTGTACGAGCAAATGGTCGTCCTCGGCGAGGGGGATCGTCCGGAGGCGTACGATTCGGACGGGGACGAGCTGAACCTGGAGACGTTCACGGTCCAGCTGTTCGAGTTCTTGCTCACGATCGTGAGCAATCCGCGGCTCGCGCCGGTGAGGAATTCGGATTGTGGGCTATCAAATCAAGGCTTTGGGCTCACTTTCTTGTGTGTTTTGCCCTTAAAACTGGTTCACTTTGCTTTGGGCTCTTCGAAACTGAATTGGGCAAAGGGGAAGGAGGGTCAAGTTTACTTAAGAAGCGGGTCTAAGCCTGACCGGGTTCATAGACCCTGCGGCGTCCTTTCAACACAGACTGTCTCTCCGGTGGTCATGTACTCGTGTCGCGGGGGAATGACACCAACCTGGCGCCCTTCGTAAAAGAGCTCATGCTTGAGAAGAGGAACGGTCTGTAAGTTGAAGCGACGGAATCTGCTTCCACAGATGCTTGTAGGACCATGAAGGACCTGGTGTACTGAAGTCGATAACAACCGATGATGCTCGCCTGGTGCGCGTTTCAATAGTCAGCTCTTGCGACTCAAGCAGTCTAAAGGTTTCAAAGCGCACAACGTTCTTTGCAGATGATCGAGGGGAGCATTGGCGAACTGGTGTACTATGCGGTCGGGTACATGCGCATGACGGACGAGCAGACGGAGGCGTGCGCGGCGGACCCGAACCAGTACGTTGCGGACGAGGAGGAGGAGACCTTCAGTTGCAGAAACTCGGGTGAGGAACCGCCGTGACTCTTTGAAATCAGTCAAGGTCTTTTTGGTACTAAGGGTTTAGGCCGATTTCAGGGTTTCAGATAGTCCAATCTGACTCTGTTGGACAGAAGCAGCACGTTACGGACGAGGAAGAGGAGACCTTCGGTTGCGGAAACTCGGTTGAGGCAACTGCCTTCGGAACGGTTTCAGGTTCTTATGGTTTGAAAGGTCCAAGGTTTGACGGTTTTAGGATTTCAGTTTGTGCTTTTGTTTCTGCTGAACTTAACAGGTACGTAGAGGAGACGTTCAGCTGCAGTAACTCGGAAAGAAACCGCCGCGGGCCTTTTAAACGATTGTAAGGACTACTTCGGCGTACAAGATCTGCTTTAGCATTGGTTGAATCTTAACAAGTTGCGAACTACGTCAGCCTAGAAGCCGTACGAGCAGATTGATGGGTTCGCAGTTACTCTCCAGGGCTAGCTATCCCAGCCGGACTGTCTTGCCCTGTTGAAGAGGCCCACTCCCTCACCTCGACCTCAGATCCCCGCGGAACGTTATACGGACAGAGAAAAATTGCGCTGTGTCAGGGGGTCTACTTCTGGAGGAGCTCATCGAGTCGTTTGAGGAGCGCGCGCTCGTCGCAATCGCGGGCGCCGCGCAGCAACGGATGGAAGAAGCTAAGGAGGCCAAGGCGGCGGGCAAGTCCGACTGGTGGAAGGTGAGGCGACGCAAAGTCAACCCTGTTTCGCAATTTAGAATCCTGCACTGCTTGAGATATCTCAAGCTTGACATTAAGGGAGGAGGGAAGTCAAAGAGGCTTAGGCGTTGGGCAAGTCTGACTGGTAAAAGGTCGGGCAAGGCAAAGCGAGTTGGGTGCGCCTTGGAAGTGGGCACTTCTTGATGTAGCGCAAGCTGGAGTGAAAGAGCCTTGAGAGCTTCGGAGCGTCCTTGCGAGTTGGAATCGTATGAAGTGAGAAAGATTGTGAGCAATTTGTGCTGGAGGACAGGGACGAATTGTGTTTATTGGCTCCAACGAAGGGCCCCGCTCTCTTCTTGGCGAAAAAGAGTTGAAGTCGTTGAGCCGAAGCTAATCTCTGGGCTGCTCGCCAACAAGCCCTTCGAAATAAGCCGAATTCTTGTTTTGCGACTGCAAGCGGCCGTACTGGGGGCAACAAATCAGATCTGGAATGAGTGGAGTCGAGAAGACTGATGAGCACACTATGTCTAAACAAGAGAAAAGCAAGCGAGGACCTCTGTGGAGCCGGTCGGGTTGTCTGAAACGATAGAAGACTGTGAAGTAGAAGGGCGGTGAAACCATGTTGCATCAACATTGACGACCTGCGGAAGTTTTCGGCAGATGCGTGAGGCGTCCATTCTCGCTCTCGGCACCTGCGCCGAGCGCTTCATCGAGTTCCAGCGAGCGGGGGTCTCCACGTTCGACATCCCCGCCTTCCAGGGGGGTCTTTTGCATGACGATCTGGGGGGGGGAAACGAGAGCGTGCCGTTCCTGAGGGGGAGGGCCTTGTGGGCGGCCGCAAAATTTGCGGACGCTCTTCCGAAGGAGCAAGCGGTGCCGTTTCTGCACGCGGCAGTCGGGGCGCTGTCGGAAGGAACGTGAGTAGTCGCTTTTGTATGTCCAAGACTTTTTCCTTTCACCCTTGGGAATTGCTCAGCTTCATTGGGGACGCCGTTGGACGGAACATGAGTGGTCTCTCTTCTTCCTTGAAGGGTTTTCTTCTACTTCTGAAGAGACCTATTGAGATGTTTTTATCTCCTCTAGGCAGCCCATCAATTCGTCTCTCTCTTTTCTCCCTGTAGCGGGATTGCCCTCCTTTCTATCACTTTTGAAATATGCCAAAAGGAAAACGTAGGAATGCGTTACATTCAGCAAGAACGTCCGCTTTGCCGTGTTTCGTCCACTCTTGCTCTCGAGAAATCGGCTCTCTCGGTCGTCTCATCCGCTTGTGCTCGCCAGTAAGTGAGCCGCTCCTCGATCTGCTTTCGCGATTTACTCGTTGGCCACAAATTTGCCTGGAAAAGAGAGGACGGAGTAAAGCTTGACGAACTCGAATAATACCTTATACTGAGGTCACTGTTGGCTCCCTCGCGCAATTGTGCCCTCATCGCGCCACGTCAGCCCGTTCCTTTGCTATTTGCAATCCAGATTAGTGGCTGCCCCCCCACCTCCAGACCTGCCCTGTCGAGCACCTTTTATCCTTTTCTGCAGCCCCCCCGCGATCCAGATCAGCGGCTGCCGCGCGCTTGCGCAGCTGTGTCCGAAACTAGACGCGGACGTCGTCCGGCCCGTGCTGCCGCTCGTCTTTTCCAGCCTAGACGCGCTCCTGAAAGCTGCCACCGAAGAGACGCTGCACTTGGTGCTCGAGACTTTGAGCGTGGCCGTCAGAGCAGGTAGGTTATCGCAATCCAGTGTACGATTGTTAATAATTGAAAATGGCGGCTCGTGTTTTAATCAATTAGAATTCACGTGAGGTTCTTGAGCGTTCGTAGGTGGTGGGAGCGCCGCTTCCCTGCCAGAGCGCGCTCCCGAAGGGTGCCAGTGAACGGATGCTGCACCTCGTTCTGCAAGTGCTGTTCAAGGGTGTTCGGGTATACGGCTTTTCGCTTTAGGTTGCGCCCGACTTTCGGAGCTTCTTACCGAAGGCTTCAGAAGGTTTACGATGATTTGGGTCAGCTGGGGCGTTCCTGGGTAGTAGCTTCCTCATTCCGAAAGTCGTAAGGACTTTTGGGCCTTAATAAGGCGCGGGTAACGGTGACGCAGACGCTTCAAAGCGAATGCGTCCTATCGCTCGCTGATGTTTGTGATTCTAGATACTTGCATGATGCCCGTTTGGCGGACTCAAAAGGCCCCGACAAGAAGATTTGAATTCTCAGTAGCCTGGATTCAAGCATTGCAGGAACGAGCGCAGCCAGGCGTTGCTCAAAGACCGACGAATGCCCATTGAAGAGCTGCATACACCGATCAGCAAGTAACGAGCGGAACTTCACAAGAACCGTCTATCTCGCCCCTCCCGATCTCTATTTGAATTCACCCGCCAAACCCCTCCGTTCCATCATTCCTACTCTTCTACCCACAGGCAAAAGGGGAACTTTCTGATAACAGTATTCTGCTCTTTACAGTCTTCTCCTGCGCTCATAACACCTGCTCTTCTCCCAACAGATGGCGCTACCGCGGCCGCGTTTGAGGCCACCATCTCCCCCGCCGTGCTCCACGTCTGGGCCCAGTACGTCACCGACCCGCTTATTTCGGAAGACGCCCTCGACGTTCTGGAGGCCCTAGCGGAATTTCCGGAGTGCATCCATCCCCTGTTCCTGCGCGTCGTTCCGTCCTTGGCTGGGGTCTTAGCAGCGCCCGATCAACAACCGCCCGGCCTCGTAGAAGGCGCGCTGGATCTGCTAACACTGCTACTGCAAGTGAGGCGCAATTGTCTCTTATTCTATGTCTCCAGTCAACGGTTTGGAGGAGCTTTCCTCACCTTTTAGAGCAATGTCTTTTCCGATCTGCCTTTATCCCTCCTTCAAGCCGTCTCCTCACAATCGCGTCATTTCTGATGGTCCGTTTTGATTAAGATGCAGGGAAAGAAAAGAAAATGCTGATCGAGGCCATCAGTGGAATTCCATGGTTGCGTGCAGCGAAAGACCACCCAACTTAAAACCCCTTTCAACCCCTCGTCTGCAGCGCTCCCCCGCTGACGTCAGCCGGACCGCGTTCGGCCCCTGCTTCGGGGCGACCGCCCGCATCGTGATGACGACGGATGACGCGGCGCTGCTGCAGAGCGGGGCGGAATGCCTGGCGGCATTCGTACGGAGCAGCGGAACGGAACTTCTGCAATGGGGACCGGCGAAAGAAGAAACAATGAAGACGTTGCTAGACGCGACTGGCAGGTAGGGTCAGGCGTTTTATGTTTGGGGTCTCGGTTTTGGCTCTGAGTGGTCCTTTTGGAATATGGATTTTGAGTCAAAAGACTGTCCAAAAGTCTGGTTCTAGGGTCCTCGAATTTTGGCGATTTTGACAAGAGACGGATGGCAGGGATCGTGCATCGGAAACGGGAAAAAGTAGACGATGGGAGCGCTCTTGGTTGGGAGTTCCAGGCAGATGTTGGTTATTATTGTGAGTGTCCTGTGGCAGTCTAGGTGAGATAAGCAGACAAAGGGACTTCCGATTTAGGAGCGATATAATAAAGACTAACTCTGTGGGCGCTTAGTGGACGGACGGACGATTCCGGCAATTTGAAGCCCAAGGTCTCACCAAACCTTGGTTGGAAGAAGGACGACGTTACTGTTGGTGCTGATTGGTCAATCGTACGAGGGATCTAGGTCTGAGACTCCGAACTACCAAAGGTGTACGAAAGTTGCCCCTGTTCATGCTACTGGTAACCCTGCCGTCAGCCGTGCTGGCTTCTGGACACATAACCAGGTTCTGTACCCGTCAATCTACTAGATTGCTTTACCAACCACTAATCAGGTCTGATCTCAAGTGGTCCTCATTGTGCCAGGTTGCTAGATCCCCACGCAACTAGTGCGGCGGCCCCCGAACGACTTAACCAGGCTTAACCAACCCTTAACCTTGGTCTCCTTGTGCCAGGTTGCTAGACCCCCACATGGACAGCAGCGCGTCTCTCTACGTGGGCAATCTCATCACGCAACTAGTGCGGCGGCTCCCTGGAGATATGGGCCCTCATTCACGCCCTCTGCTGGCGGCCCTCGTCGCGCGCATGCAGTCCTCGCTCATGCCCGCGCTCACCATCTCGCTCCTCCTCGTTGTCGCGCGCCTTGTGAGAATGCTCACCCGGCCTGTTGACCCGCTATGTATCCTTCCGAAACATATTCCGGGCGACGATCTCGAAGCGCCGAAACTTCGAAAGCGCGGAGAAAATGAAGTCGCGTTGTTAAAGTCGTAGCTTCTCTCCCGTTAGCTGCCCGCCGTCGACTAAGTCGCTGGAAGCAACCTATGTTTTTCGAGCTATCTTTGCTGCCTCTCCCTTGAAGAAGATGTGGGATTATCGCGAAAGCTTCATGAGGTCGAGTTATGCTAAACCCGTCTGCTCGATTTTTGGGCCAGTTACAGCGCTGAACACAGACAAAGTGCTGCTGCCTTATCCTCACTCCTTACTTTCTTAAAAACGAGAAATTTCTCCTTCCAACATTCAATTCCCACCACCTGCGCCTTCCCTTTCGAAAACGCCTCTTCTCATGAGCAGGTTCCACCCTAACCTTAAAACTCTAAAAGTACAACCCCAAAACCCCAAAACCCCATTTCGAGGCCTCCTCATGACCTTGATTTCCACCCCCCGAATCTGATGCAGGTCCACATGAGCGCCCCCAACGTGAGCCAGCTGATCGACGCCCTCGTCTCCCTCCCCGCGCAAGGTTACAGCAACGCGCTCTCTTTCGTCCTCTTCGAATGGACCAAATGGCACGGCGAGATCCAGGGCGCGTACCAAATCAAGGTTAGCCTAACCGCGCTGGCAACCCTGCTGGCGTCGGGGGATCCCCGGCTGGGCAGCGTGATCGTCCAGGGGGAACAAATTCAGCCGGAGGAAGGGGGGGTGATCATGACGCGGTCGCGCGCGAAGCAGGGGGGGCGGCTCGAGCGGTACTCCAACGTCAGCCTGCCTGTCAAGGTGAGCGTGACGTCAGCGGGACGGCCTTCTGCCTTGGGGTTTGTTCAGTGCTTTGCTGTGTGCTTGAATGGTGGTCTGCGCCTGTTCCCGCTGTCAGGCGGTCTCTGCCGGTTTTCTCATGGAACTCAGGAAAGATAATAATAAGGTAACCGCACTGGGAACGGGTAGGTTTAGTTTGGTGGTTAGGGTGCGTATGGGTGCGGAGCTGGTATTTGTTTGGGTCAAGCTTTTTAGTGTTAGTTGACGCTTAATTTTATAATGGCTTATTGTTATTTCTCTTGAGAATCGTGCTTTTCCCTTTTGGTTAGCGGACTCTCCGACTCTGATGTTGCGAACCCCATGTTGGCGCTTCCCTATCCCTTTGCATATCAGCCGTCTGACTCAATGGAACTATTGGAACAGGTCGATGGCGGATTCGACGTCGTTGGTTTCGCGCGAACTTCCTTCCCTAGGATTGACTTCATTGCGAAATCTTAGCTCGTCATGTCCTGGTAATACCAAGGTGCTCTCGAGAAGCTTCGTCGATATTTCTTGGAGCCTCTACTTTGAGAGCTTCCACCTTTCGGGGAGAACTTCCTGCGTCGACGTCGGCAGAAGTGTTTTTTCTTGACGATCCCACTTCATCCGCTGCAGCTCATAGCCATTCTAGCCGACACTCTGACGGAGATGAAGGAGGCTCAAGCGACCGGTGTGGAGGACGTAAGTTCACCTATTCTCCCGTCTACAAGCAGGGCGTCACTTTGAGCAGTTACAAATTCACTGCCTGTACTGACGATCGGAATGTCCGCTTGAATCGCCGACAATGAAGGATGACTGTTTCATCATTTGATCGCTCCTGTCATTCTAGGTAGTCGTAACAAGTGTTTTGGTTTGTCGCCGTTCTGTTGGTGTGAGTTCCCACAAACTGACGAGAATCACTAGGGCAATCAAAAACCGTTTCCTGTTCCTACACATCCTTCTGAAAAAAAGGAAAAAACAACAGAAACTGCCTTTTGATTTTGCCAGGATGACGAGTGGGAGGAAGCGAGTGGCGACGAAGACGAAGATGACGAGGCGGGCCCTTCCGGCATCGTCATTTCCGCCGGAACTGGCCGGTCGTCCGTTTTCCAACCCATCGAAGACTTCGCCAACCTGTTCTCAGAGGACTTCGCCGAGGGAACGTACGTCGAAGATCCTGACGCGAAGAGCGATCCGATCAACAGCGTAAATGTGTCGGAGTACGCGGTCAAATATCTGAAAGAGTTGGCTAGGAGAGATCAGGTAGGGTTTGCAGCGTGTTGTCAAGGCTTGAACCGGACGCAACAGGAAGCGATACACGCTGCGCTGCAGACCGGCAGCTAAAATGGTATGTGCTGCCAGTCTGCTGATCACGATCCTATATACTCATGGGTGCACCTCGAGTACAAGCTGAATAGTCAACTTCGACCCTTGTTTTGTCCGCGCTATCAAGTATCTCAAGAAGGAATCACCTGTCCGATTGACAAGGAAACGGAGAGTCGGCAGGTAGCTTACGGAGATAGTGATCATGGTAGGCGCTTGGGTGCTTGGCTTGCACTTTTTATCCAATCTCTTGCGTCATGCACTGCGAGCAGCTCAGACATTGGATTTGAAGGATCGATGCGACGAAACAGTCACTTACATGCTCATTCGCATGTCCAAATATTATAAGCTGTGCATACCAAGTTGCCAGAGATTTGTGCACATGCTTACTAACAGATGTGCAGGTGGTGCATCGCCTAGCATAAGTAGAGACTCGTATGTCGGAGAACATGCACAACGCCTCTAGCAACAGCGGCAACCTTTGCACGTGGCTCAACATGCAACTTAGAGCCTAGCTAGAGCAGACTCAGTTTTCCATGCAGCCTTTGACAGTGGCGCCGCATGTATTGTACGGCATACTAGCTTGGGCCATTAGCACGAACATGTGCGTATACGTTGCCACGAGAGCTTAAGCCGCCGCTCATGCTACTTATAATGTACATGCATATACGGTGACCGGACGCACCAACACGGCGGCTGCAACCTTCAACTTAAGTTAGGCTGGCCCCATGTACGCCTTAAATCTACAATCCGACGCAATCATTCGTGTATATTTCAATCAACGCGAATTATCGAGTACATCATGACACAAGCTAAATACCCTACACGAACTTCGGAAGTGACCTGGCGTCCTGCCATTGATACTCCCAAGTCAACTCGATCTGATTCATCGTTAGCAAACGACGAGTGTCGGCCTCATGATTGTGTTCCTTGATCCACGCCAGATAAAGAAGCTATAGCAGATACCAGAAGTGGACATGTTACGTATATGAATGCGCATCAACAATGATAACATGTATGGCGTATAATATGGATCGCTTGCAATTATTGCCCGGCCGGCCACTCAGCATTAGCAATCATCAAAGCGGACGGTCTGATCCCGGCGCACAATGATATGGAAATGTTTGTCTCGTGTACGGGATCCTCTACCCGCTGCAAGATCAAACATGACAAGAAGCAGGGCCATCTAAAGCTAAGTAGATCTCCGAAGCTCAGTCGCTGCATGATCTGAACGATGCAGCTGATTTTCTATACCTTCGAATAAGCTTCAAATCATTAAGAGATTGGGAAAGGACTCGATACCTTTTTGGTGCATTCTACAAGCAATCCTTTGTGAACTTGAGGCTGGCAGCCTATGCCTACGACGGCTTCGAATAACTTAACCCCGGAAGTAATACCACATTCCTAACCTTCAAACTAGCTCCGCAAAGGAGGGCCTTGATTCCTTGAGCCACCTCCTTCTCTATGTTCATGAAGCGCAGGGTGAGCTCTTTAAACTTAGGCAAGCGCCCGACCACGCTTGCAAGGAACAAAAGGTCGTCTTGTACGAAGGCCTCAGGCCGATATAGATCCAAACTGCGCAACTTTTGTAGGAGAGCCAGCTTTGGAATGTCGTGGAAGTCAAAGGAGCACCGGAGCACCTCCATGCCCCCCATCTGCTCTAATAGTTCTGGCCAGGCGACGTGCGGCATGAGTGGGAGATTGGGAAGCTCTAAAACACGGAGAGAGGGGCATTGACTGAGCAGTTCTAGCACTCCTTTGGCGGGAATGCTGATTGGGGTGGCGATTGGAAAAGGTTGAGGATACACATCGAAAGATTCAAGAGTACGCGCTATCAGTGGCACACCTAACGTTAGCTGCTGGAGGGAAGTGCAGTGTTGCGCAAGACGGGAGAGGATGACATCTAGGTGTGGCACTGATATAGATCTGATGTCCAGTTTTGTCAGTTGGGGAAGACCCCTAAACAGGACTAAGAAAGCAGTCTCCGAAAGGCTTTGGTGATCTGGGAACCTCAGTGCTTCGATGCTGGGAAAGACGGCGGGGAGTAGGGAGAGGAATTCGGATCGAAGTGAGGGCTGGCGTGGAGGAAGGTCAAAGCTGAGCTCTGTCATGCTGACCATTGGAGCAATCTTTCGCAAGGCCTTCATGAACTTGGTGTGCTCTATCCGACACGGTCCTGAGAAGGTGAGCTTCTCTAGACCTGTGAACTGCCCTAGAGAGCTGACGATTGTCTCAAGAAACGAATGTTCTGGGAGCCCCATGTCAGACAGGTGGAGACTTTTCAGACTACTGAATGATGCGGAGAGGATTCTGGTGAGCTCCAACGCAGACTGTGAGCCCCCCGACCGCTGAGGTGGATCACCCGGAAATATTGTTATGCTAGACCAGGCCCTCAAAGTGAGGGGATGCAGCCTTACCCAGGAGTGCCAGCTATCCGCAAACACCTCAAGTTCATCCACGTAAGGATTCATCTCTAAGGCTCTCTGGAGCAGCTTCATGGATTCAAGGATTGGCAAGCGAAACCTTGAATCCCCCTGAAGCACCAGCTTTTTGCTGGCTGCGCGTGCAGCGTCACGCCAATCCTTAGAAACAGCCTTACAAGAGGCCATGGTGACGATATCTCCTCCTGCCGCCATTTGAACTATCATCTCCGCCAGCAGGGAGGGAAGCTTGGCAAATGCTTCTATGCTGCAGTCTTTAGCTGCCTGGGCGTCAGAAGATGCACTGCTTTCCATGCCTGTTTTTCCGCTTGGGCTTCGTAAGCTCCAAGCAGGAAAGAAGCAGCTTCTTCTGTGGTTCCTTTTCCTTTCTGTTGCAAAGGCTCTCGCTGGTAATCTGCAAACAGCGTGGCTGCTATGATCACCCTTGATACTCAACTGGGGTGAACAGTCCACACGCTCTTTTATTCTTTGCATCAGCAGGATGACAATCTTCGAGTCTTGGAAAGAAACTGTTCAGCTAGACTAGTTTTGAAGGCGCCCCTGGACTAAGAAAACCGCTATTAGACTACGGTCCTTCAATGGTCTCGGTTGCTGTCGCGAAGCGCACTCCCTCGACCTTTCTTCCGACCGGTAGTACCCTACACCGGGCACTCGAGTCCAGTTCTTTACCTGACAAAATCAGCCCTGGCGGGCCTAAGGCTACCGGTACATCCTCCTGGGCGAAATATTCAGTGGCGCCCGGCCGCCGCGCGTCGTGTTTTCTATAGTATACCCGCGCAGCCGCAGGCGCTGCCGCCGCCAGCACATGATGCTCAGTGCTGATATTGATATTGATATTGAAATTCTCGTCTAATTAAGAGCCAGCATGCGCTCTGGTGCGAGCGCAGATCGAAGCAATGCAAATGTAAAACCCTGGCATAAGCCTTTGCCAGGTCGCCTTAACTGTGCTTTCTGGTTCTAGCTTTGGTACGCTCAAATTCTAATTTGAATGAGATATTGCCAGTACGATACTTTCCTTGCAATGCGCCATTGATTGCACCAGATTATGAAGGGCTCGATACCTGAAAATAGTCCTTCTGTCGAGGTGACCCCCTTTCTAGCTTTAGGAACAACTGAGCGTGCACATGCATGTGACCAACCAGATATTGCCAGTTTCATAGTCGAAAACAGTTTCACCACATGGTCAAACAACGATTTCAACACATCATCGGGCCGCAAGGCTCAAGTAGCCAAGACGAGCTGCGCCAACCGTAAATTAGTCTCCCAGAAAGTTATCTGGCATCTATATAGTACATGCAGGCCGGCCGGCCATCGAAGGAGCTAGACACTGACATGCGAACGTGGCCTTACAATTCCTCGTGGTGAAGCTTGTGTAGAAAGTGCCAGCCGGGCGTAATCGCGCATAATAGAATCTGAATTGACATGCCCTTGGTGATATTGGAATGCCCCAAGCTCAATTGGGGCAGAACGTGCCACAAGTGCGATGATGCTGGTTCAAATGTACTTTTTGAGCGAGCTTAGGCAACCTTGGGCGTCTCAACACGGCATACCCTTTCTTGAGACGGTCTCAATGCGTTAAAGCGATACCGGAAAAATCAACCTGTTTGACTACTAGCGTTCATCTTTTTTTGAACCAACCCTGAGCCATCAGGGTACTTGGCTGTTATTGTAGCAAGTCCTGTCCCGGTTGTTCCGATTCTGACGCATCTTTCGGTGATCCTATCCAGAAATACCAGGGAGCGCGGAGGATCGGCACGTATGGTATACCGCCTTGACTATTCACCTCGACAACTGCGCATCAAGTAAGGAGTAATCAGAATCTTTCACGCTGGCTAAGATACTGTCAACATTCACTCGTCAGCAACATGAGATGTTCTCAGCGTGGATGCAGGACTCTTCCAATCGCTGATTGATTCGGTAAACAAAGATCAGAAACCTTTCGGCCCCCAACTTAATGGAAGTTTTGACGCCCTGCACCACCCCTGTATAACTTCAATGAAGAACTCAATGCGTTATTTACCTCCGAACATCAGAATCGAAGTCAGCGGCGCACAGCGCCCCGATCAGCACACTGCTTTCCTCAAGTATCCCTTTCGTGGCGCTCTTGCTCGAGACAAGGCACCGCCGACACACATAGACTTAATTCCACCGTCGGAGCTGAAGTCCGGTCTGCTCTGACTCGCACCCCCCCAACTCCACCGTTTGAGCATCATCAGAACAGATGGAGAAGGGACGGCTGGCGTCACTATCCGTCCAGCATCAAAAAGCAGCTGAAGAGGTACGGCTGACGTCACCTGTGTCCCGATTGTGGTCAAGCTATGCACGCCAGGTTGACGCTGCCCGGGTCCGAAATCAAACAACATCAAAACAGGCGGGGAAAAGGCACAACTGACGTCACCTCTTTCCACTTCGTGGTCCAAAGATCGACAAAAACAGGCGGGGAAAGAGGTGCGGCTGACGTCACCTGTCTCCAGTTTGTGGTCCAGGTACGCGCGCCGCTCCGGCCCCAGGTTGATGTTGTCCAGGTCAAAGATGGCCTGCCAGAACCAGCGCCGGTAGTAGGGATGCTGCCGCTGCGGGCGGTCGTACTTTCCGGAGACATAAAAGTCGGCGATGCCGAGGAGACCCCCCGGGGCGAGCATGGAGAGGGCGTTGTCAACGGCAGCCATGTAGGGGGGGATCACTGGCGAGAGAAACGGGGGGGGGGATTTAAGGTGGTCAGCAGATGAAGGGGGAGGGGGGAGTTGAAAGAATGAAGACGTGTTGACGAAAAGTCATTTGCGGAAAAACACAAGGACGAATACAGATGGGAGGAGACTGGATCGAGGATGCTGCAAATATGAAAGGGAATAACAGATGCCCGACAAAGAGGGTCACAGCTGTCGGGAGAGAGTGAGAAGACTTGTACCCCTTGTCAACATTATCGTGATGAAACCTGAATGTAAATCCGATCGACGCTCTAACGCGTTATTCAGTGAAGCGGAAAGAAGAAATAGACGTGTACAACCAGCGAAGGGGGTAGATCGTTGGAAAATGTCTGATCGGATGAATTTCGGGGGTTGATCCTCCGACAAGAACAGGAGATGAAGAGCTGTATTGTCGTTTCGAAGATAAACCCCACGCCCAGCACGCAGTGTGAACGTTTTCATATAAAAGGGTCCCTGCCGATTGGTGACTTTCCTTAACGGCTATCTGACGACCATTGAAACCAACAAAATGAGTTTCCTAACATCAACTAGACCCCCTCTCTTTATTCACTCGCTCTACAACCATCTTATGGTCAGCCCTACGACCCATGGAAGAAAGAACATACGTTTCAATGTCTTTGTCGGGTAAGCAACAGCAGACAAACAGCGAAGAGTAATAGCAGACAAACCAGCTTGAATGTAAGGTTCGCTTAGCAGTAGTCAACTCACTTGACAGAGAGTAGGAGAAGGTCACGACAGTCGCCTTGTTGTCTGGTTGGAATGTGCATGCGTCGCCCTCCACCACCTCTACGTTGTTCCAGCCCCGCTCTTTGGCCTTTGCCTTCGCAACGTCGCAGAGGGGAGAACACAGATCCACCACGTAGATCTGCGTTTTAAAGTTTAGGTTTAATCCTCCTTGTTGTTTCTTAGAGAGCGGCCGTTTTGTTTATTTTCAGCAGGAATGTTGGGTAATCTTGCGGAGGGCCTAGGACAGGGCATGCAAAGGTTCATGACGGCTGATTATCTAATATCGGAAAAGAGTGGACATACTTACAAAGCTCTAAAACCACAGCGGGGGCCCCTCTCAGAGACGAGGTAAAGGGGAAAAAAACAGATGGAAAAGAGAGCTATTGAAGGCTTTCGACTGTGCGATTCACCCAACGGCCTTCAGTCAAAGTTTCAAAACGAAGCCGTACACATTTGAGTTATCATCAGATCATCACAAGTAAGTACACCGAGCTGGCCGTTCATTCCTTGTTAATCCATGGATGCTATAGTAAGCAGAACCTTGTGTGATGCAATTTTGCTGTCATCTACCGCACAGTTTTCACCTGAGCGCTTCCTTATGAGTGACACACGGCCCGAATGAAAATGGAGGATTCTACCTTAGTCATGTCCCTAACTAAGTGGGACCGAAAAGCTGCATCTGTCTTGCATATCAGAGACCAACAGTTCCAGACTTGAGTCGCAGAGGATTGCAATGCAGCTTTGAGCTCGACAATATCTAAAACTTGGGAGTTTGTTTGTGACTGGAGGACCTGAAAAAGACAAGCTTTGACACTATTTGCAGTTGAAAGAGTTCACTTCAGCCCTGCGCATGTCCATTGTTAGATATGTAACTTGTCCTTATTGTGAAAGGCTCACCTTCTCGAATCTGCTCAGGTCAATATAGTCTGCCATCATCGCAACATTCTCCCCCGTACCGCCGCCTGCAAATGATGTAAAAAGAGGGCTTCAGCAATTGCCTTAAAGAAGCAGACTAGAAATCAAAGACAGAAGTGATCCTCCTATAGTTTTTCGAGGAATCTCAAACCTTCAATACCAAGAGCGTCAGGCAGGAGTACTCCACTCCTGAAAGGCACATGCCGTGCATCAACACCCATTCACACAGTGGTGCAGCTCAATCCAGAGTGCCTTCCTCATCCTGCAGCAATCGGAGACATCCTGCATAGCAACAACAACGTGGGCTGCCAGCCAAGTTCACCGGACCGACTCATTTGGTGCTCACAGATTGACCCCATGGATGAACAATGAAGTTTTTGCTCACCCAGATCTACCCAGGACACAGGCCCATCAAAAGCGGAGAGCTGCTTGGCAAGTTCTTTCAGCATAGGCCGCCGACCGTGCAGGAAGTTGGCTCGGAAGCGATCATCTGGAAGACGGGCACGAACCATGAGAAGAGTCGGTTCTTAACGAAGTCACAACTCTTCAACTTGATCATGTGAGCGCTCAACGCCCAGAATCCGAGCAGAGACTGGCAAAGATATGCCACAGAATCAATCAGACTCCGAGTGTCAGGATTTCTAGGCGTCAGCAGAAGAATGCGACTATAGCAGAAGGCCTGTGCCAGCAGTGCCTTCCAGAGGAGAAGTGGTGGTGCTCAAAAGTTTCTCAGGAAACTTACAAGCGTGTGCTTGGCGGCCGTAGAAAGCGTCCAGCCTCTCCTGAAATCATAACCACCATACAGTGTCATTGATAGCTTTGGCTTCACAAATAGGTCCACGTAACGTGAAACGGAAGCATCGCAAAACACTGGCTGAAACAACAAAATAAACAGAATTGAGTCATACACCAAGAGGGTCTAGAAGTTGCACACCATAATTGCAGATTTGAACACTCTCAAACTCCAGCTGATCTGCAGATGGCAGCTCGTAAATACACAAACAGGCAAGTTTCAATATATACTTTGTGTGTGTCGCCCTGCGCCTTCGCAAACCACATCGCCACCAGACACTCCATGTCTGTGTAAATACCCTTCACAAACTCCATGGCGCCCCAGCCAATCGACGACAAATAAGTTTTCAGGACTAATAGAAGGAATCTCTTGGCTCTCTTCCCTCCTCCTGAAGGCTGTTCAAAGCTGATACAGATCCGTGAAAGCGGCTAATACTAACACTGACAGGATCTGCTCATGCAAGCTTTCTCCGGCCAGAAAAGTGTGCAGCTGCAAGCTAGATGATAGATCTGCAATGCTGGCATTGGGGTTTGTGGCTTGTTTGCGGCCAGAAAGCCCTAATTCAACTTCGAGGTTTAGCCAGGGGTCGCAAGCTGCCAGGCAAATTGGTGAGGAAGCAGAAAAGCAGGGGGTCCACCGCGAGTGCCCATCCAAATTTTTGCATGCAAGTTCTGGACACCTTGCCCTGCAAAACTGCCAATTTTCCGGGGCGGCATAAGCGGTGGACCAGTGCTTTCTGCATTTATCAGCGAATCAAAATGATTAAATAGCAGGGCAAAAATGCAGATTCTACGAACAAAATTGAACAGTTATAAGCAGACAGCATCTAATTGGTGGATTCACCAATAGTAGCCAAATCTTCGTCAGCAAGTGGTCATACGTGCGATACCGCGATCCTATAACCTGGCAGTGCGGGTTCTGCTTCCCCAACCCTCAAGCTGGCAGCTTGCGACCCCTGGGTTTAGCGCTGAGCGGGAGGAGGCGCCAATCTGCACTTTGATTCTGGAACGCTGCATTTGTTTGGCAGCATCCTCGATTCCTACTATTAGAGACTTTGTGTCAGGTTTTCTGTGCTCATCATATGCGTGGGACGGGACCGGTGCCGGACAGGATTGGCACGAGAAAAAGAATGAAGCAAGCAAAGACGTTGGTGGCGAGGGACCATGCAGAGAGCGATTGCTTCTCCAAGGAGTGCCACCGTGTGGAACAGAAGGCCTGGCAGATTTGTTGCAGGCTCCGCGATTGAATCTTTGAGGGCATCGGACGCGATGGTGAGACTTTTTGCCACCACGCCTTTTTCAGCAAGTTGAGGAGGACTCTTCTGAGAAAAACTTCTGTAAGCGTTCGGCTGCCGCTGGTGTTCTCTAAGTTGGTGAGTAAGTCGAAGAGCTGCCCTGATTGTTTGTTTTGATATGTTTCACTGATCACTAGGTGAGACACAACATCGGGATGGTGGTGCATGTGAATTGATAGGTGGCAGTGGCGTTCACCCATTGACGGGCAGCGTAGAGAGATCAGATGTTGCATTGGTTTTTCTGAGCCTCAAGTTCAACTGGCTAGAATTTCGTCTCCAGATGTTTGTCGCTGTCGGGTGCTCCGTATGACGTGGTGGAGAGGGATCCCTGATTCTTGAATTGGTCCAATCAATGACCATGTCTACAATAGAGAATTGCCCTGGGAAGCTCACAGCCAGACTTTTTAAATACTGCCGAGCTTCTCTGAGGACAGGCTTTGCTCTTGATCACTTGATAGGAAAACGTCTTCTTTGAAGAATCACTTCAGAGAAAAGCAAAGAGGTTTCAGATTGGCGAAATAATCAGTTTTTTATGATCTATAATTTTCCTGCTCCAGGCATCATCCCCCTCCTTAAGACTGCCCCCAGCCCCCCACGAGCTCTATCAACGTGTCCGCAACCACTTTCCCTACTTCAACCCAGACAAGAAGAACCCGGTCTTCTTTGAGAACGCTGGGGGCAGCCAGTTGCCCCTCACTGTCATCGAAGCAGTGCGTGAGCACATGCTGGACCACTACGTGCAACTAGGGGCGGGATATGAGCTCTCCAATCGGGCGACGAGCACAGTCGATGCGGCGCATGACATCATCAAAGTAAGGATGTTCAATCTTCAGCTGTGTGTTGGAAACTAGGTACAAATACCTTGCTTTTGGAATCTCCCAGAGTTTTGATAGTTCGGAGCCTCTGAGGTTTTCAGGTTGCCTTTTGCACAACTATCAACAAGAGGCTCTCAATCATATCCAACTTCTGATCTGGCACTGTTCAAGAGACACCCTTTTCCACCTCCAGCTGATTCCGCAGTTTGACTCATGACCGAACCAGCAAAATCAGGGGACGTTTTCTTTGAAGCTGACCCAGATCTAGGGAACCAAAGGCTTTTTGAGGAATTTTGGGTGGACTTCGATATTGACACCAGGGACAACCTTGTCTGGTTGATTCAACGGGTCTGAATTCTGGACCATTGACTTTACCAGCTTCGCTGGAGACCAACCTTCCTGAGCAGACAATATAGTAGTTCCGTGGACCTCACTATGCTGAATGTAAGGGCTTCAAAATTTCTGTGAAATGAATGATTCTTGCAAGCAAGGATGGTACCATTTGAAGTCACTCGTTTCATTGGGGCATTCAGTCTTTGAGAGGACCGTTGAATATATGCTACCAAAGGTTGAAGGAAACAACGGCGCGTTGCTTTCTGAATTGTAGCGGGGATCCAATCGACCAGATTCTGCTGTTCTATGGAACTGCATTCCGTAGGATATCAGAGGTGCGGGGATCATTTTTGGGACCTCGTCACGTTCTATGGCCCCTTCTAATTATAACTTCCTTCAAAGGCTACTTCCGAGTTTCGAGTGCAGAAGGAAGCGGGGACAGACTTACACAGACTCCAGCTTTGAGCGGTGTTTGTATCCGCAATGTTCGGCTAGCCCCTCGAATCCCAATCAAACGCTGTCGTCTCTAAACTCACTCTACGGAAAATGAGATGTGGATTGAGGCCTCTGCAGATACTTTTCCACAAAGGATACGACGCCGCCAGATTTATTGAACGTAAACTCGTCTGAAGCACACAACTCGCTTCCAAACGTTCGTTCTGCTGACGTTTCATTTGTGACACTCACGTTCGCTTTTGATTCAACAGTTGTTCTCAGAGAAGCAACTTACGTATCTTCTTGTTCTGCTTCCAAACGACACGCCTCAGGACCCAGTCTGTGGATATGTGCACCCCATACAATCTATAAGGCAAACTTCTAGTCTTCTAAGACAAGTTCTACTTCCCCTGGGTCTGCAGACCTTCCTAAACGTCGGCGAAACGGGCGAGGTCGTTCTTGCGGGCTCGACGTCCGTACTTCTCGCCTCTGCTGCGGACGCCTACCGACGGTCCGGCGTCATTCGGTCCGGCGACGAGATCATTGTCCAGGTGACGTGTCACGAAGCGAACGCCGGGCCCTGGGTGCGCCTCGCAGAAGACGTCGGCGCAACTGTGAAATGGTGGGGTGTAAATTCGGAACCCCCGCACACGTCGAGCTTCGAGGAGCTGGAGAATCTGCTTACGGACCGGACGAAACTCGTGGCGGTGACACATGTTTCCAACCTTCTGGGGGAGATTCTGGACGTACGAAGCGTCGTTCGGACCGTTCGGGAGTCACCGGCGGGGGCGCAGGCGCGCATTGTCGTGGACGGAGTCGCGTACGCGCCGCACCGCGCCGCTGACGTCAGCGCCTGGGGTGTAGACTGGTACGCATTTTCGGTGTACAAGACGTGGGGGCCCCACGTGGCAGCGCTGTACGGGAGCCACGTGGCGTTCCGGGAGCTTGAGGGGTTTGGGCCGAACCATTATTGGATCGACGGGGCGGACGTGCCGTACAAGTTCGAGCTGGGGGGTCCGTCGCATGAGGCGTGTGCAGGAATTCTGGGCTTGGCTCAATATATTAGCGCGGTGGCTCGAGAAAGCATTGGGCTGGAGAGGGGCGCGGAGTGTGGATTTTCAAACGCTGAGGATCCCCAAGGGGTTCGATCTTCGGGAGAAACATCTACTAGCGGGCGGGCAGAGCAGGCAAGCAAACGGAACGGGATTGCTCCTTTGAACAGCAATGGTCCAGGGTCGAATGCGGAGGAACAGAACGCGCCGAACGGGGTCGACTTGGCATCGGTTGCGGTTGGAAAGTTAGATGTGGCCCGCAAGCGGGGGCTGCTCCGACGATCGGACGTCGAGACGTTTTATCGAACGGTCGTCAGAATGGAGCAGGCGCCGCAGGAGAAGCTTCTCAAGTTCCTGCTGTCGAAGCCCGAGCTGACGGTTGTCGGACCTGCCACGTGGCAGTCGGATGTGCGAGTGCCCACAGTGAGTTTCGTCCACCGGAGCAGGACGTCTGCTGATGTCACTAGGACGCTGCACAAGGCAGGGTTTGCGATGCGCCATGGGCACATGTATTCGAGACGGTTGTTAGAGTCTCTAAAATACGAAAATGTGGATGATGGAGTCATTAGACTCTCGCTTCTTTACTACAACACTCCTGAAGAGGTCGACACGTTGATTGGTTACATGGACGACATCTAAAAATGAAAGTGAATCTAACCCCTATATGGTTTTTGATAGAAGTATAGGAGGTTTATACCATTGTACAGATCGGAACGACATTCGGCGCGGCAATATCTTGTAACATTATAGCGTCTAACTCTAGAGCAGGCTCAGTGAAAGGCGCCCGGGCCCGGCCGTCCTTAAGGATGAACGATTCACATTCGAGATTAAGTAGGTTGGCAAACCAATGATAGCAATGTGGCTGCAGGACGCGGTATAGCGGGTGTGCTTCAAATCCATAGACAGAATGCAGATTGCATTCTTAGTCATGCCATGTCTGAACGCGCGGCAGAAATGTTCCCCAGCCATGGCTTTTCATGCAGCCACAGACGTTTCCGACTGCGATAACTAAAGACGATGCACGTTAATTGATAATTGAATTGCCAGCTTACTCATACATGCAGTGCATGCCACATGTGTATGTCAGTGACCATGTGTATGCATATGGTCACGTTCTGAAGCAATGCAATCGCGGTATTCTAAGTAAACGTTAATTGTAGACATTTTCATGACACCACTGTGTATCATTCGACCTACTATTGGGACTGCCAGCTAGTTGCATGATTTCCACTGAGTTGAGCTGTCATGTGAATCAAGCGCAATCAGGATACATGCAGATACAATCCTATATAAGCTTGATCGTGCGTCAATTTGGAGTAATTTATGCTTTTAAACGTGATCAATTTTCCAATTTAGCTCTGCGCATGACTCAGTACCCATGCCTGTATCGCCTGAAGAGAAGGGTACATGCATGGCTGGTGGGCGCAGCTTACTTCAAAGTTAATCCAGAGGCAGTCGGCCAGCACGCCACGCGCATGCGCGCTTTTGTGCTTATAAGATCGGTCGGATGCATTGATGACTGGGATTACCTGCCATAGCGTTGCTGATTCTTCATCGGACCCGATTCAATAAGGCGGGGCAATCCCTGGATGCATGATAGATGGCTCACAACTTCTGGCTGCAAGCAACCAAGTGTGGTACTGCTCGGAAATCACTACGGTACCTCTCAATATTTACTTATCTGCCTACAGCCTCTTGTACAGTATCCATTCAGTGTGCTTGCAAGGAGCAGCGCAAGCTTTGTACATCGCATGACATGCGCAGTGGCCGCACTTACAATGCAGACTCTTGTTGCAAAAACCTACCATAGGAGTGGATGCCCCACTAAATCGTTGCAAGCTTCTCATTGACTTGGCAATTGCAGAACACCTCATTATAAAAACCTGGTAAACGTGTGCTTACTTTTATCAGTCCGCAGGGAACTCAGGTTTGGTCACCCTAGATCTTATCATTAAACCAGCTCCTGTTTGCGCTCAAAAGAGGAGGAGGTCCCAACCTGGTGTTACTACCACACTTCAACCCGCTTTGATCTTCTTAAGCTTTGGTTCCGGTTCTGCAGCAGGGATGGAAGGCAAAAGCTGGCGTCAGAGCAATCGTGTTCACCGAACTACATGAGTATTTTTCAGGTGGTAATCAGCATTTTGTTCTGAAGGCAGGCCAGTTGCAACGGAAAAGTCGGTTTAGCATCCTCTCATGAACCCAACACAAGTGTGAAATAGATTGACAGTCTTCTGACAGGATGCTGCTGCCTGGTGCATTTGAACGCGTCATACTCACAAAGCACAAGCATATTTCATCATCTTGATCGAAGTGTGGTCCAGCTTACTCGAGATGAGCGGCCGCGGTCTTGTTTTGAAAAGATACTTTTGCCGTATCACCCCCACCACGTCAAACCTAGTGCTGCCCCCTTCAATTTGCTGACCAGCCGTGGGAGGGAGCTTGATCTTCCGGAGCACAGCAAGCGCTTTCTTCAGGACCACTCTGGAGCCCTCCAACTCGTGGTACCCAATCCTTAGAATGGGTTTCTCCTGGAAGTGTGCAGCATCACTTTGGCATCAGCAATGAACGTGCTAGATCTGCTGATAAGTTGCCATGATCCAGACTCCGTCAGGTTTTGGTAAGTCCCTGAATAATCTGAAGACAGAGCTTTGCATGACGAAGGAAGCAGCACACAGTCTGGCAAAGACGGGTCAGCTACACTTGGTGTCTGAATCTGGAATGAGGGATTTACCTGAGTACAAACACCTTGAAAATTGCACAGCTTATTGTGATGGAAACTGTAGTGAGTTCCTTTTCCTGCTGTGCTCACCGTGGGTGTCTGACACAGGATTCCTATCCGAAGGTTCTGCATCTCGTTTTTGAATGCCCCCTGGACGTCAATCTCCCCTTGCAGCTCAATCATTGTCCACTCTGCGCATATACCACACTCACATCGGATGGGGGCCAACATGATGCCCTGATTAATCGACCCAGCACTCTTACTACAGTCTCAATAACGAGCACGAGGTCCTCATGAAAGCCTAGAAGACCTCGGGCTTTCGAGAAGGGCACATCCGCCCTAAGCGCTGCAATCCGGAGCGACTTCAAGCTCCAATCACTCCTACGTGCGCTTCAACTGAGGCCCCTCGGATCTAAAAACCAGAGCTTCTGCCAGAATGGGTCTTCCTCCACAGGCTCCAGCAGTCCAGCCTCCGCCTCAACGGATTCCAGTACTGGTGCGCCAGCACCAAAATTCTCTCTTGCGATCTTGATCGCTTTGCTTTGAAATTCAGAAGAGATGGCGGGATTCTGTCTGGTAACTGGGCCACTGGTAACGGCGCTGGAATATCTCAAACTTGACACTGTGAGATTGGTTGAAATCGAATTGAGTGTAATTCTCGGCTCTTGTGTCAAAGTATGGGCCGGCTGTATAGAACCGGCGGGCAGTAACGGTTATTTCCGGCTGTCTCCGGCGCGGCTTCTCTTTCATGGAGCTTTTCTTGTCACAGTATCTCTCTCGTCTGCAATTTGTGTAACGTAGCGCAAACGAAAGACCTGTGCATACAAAGGGCGAGCAGCAAACCTGGATGCAAAGCAAGTGGAGTGAAGATCCTTCTTGGTTCTTGGGGCTGCCTGAAAAGATTGGAGTACGGAAGACCGCAAGCTCTGGATCCAGGCGTTGCATCAGCGGTAGTGCTGTCGTGTGTGTTTGTTCCTCGAGAGGGGGTCTGTGTAACACCGGTACTTGGAAAACTCTCCAGAAAGCTGCTCTTTTAGCATTTAGATATAGATAGGATCAGCAGAGGGGGGTTTTCCGCATCTGTCTTGCATGCTGAACTATTTCTGGGGTAAGGGACCGAAAGGCCCCGAAATGGGGCAGGAAGAGAAGGGTAAAGCAGGGGACAGCGACACTTCTGTTGGGAGCGGGAGTCCTGCTGCTGATCCGGCAGAGGAGTTAAAGTCTGCGGCAAATGAGGCGTTTAAAGGTATGCACTGTTGACGTTTTCCCAACAGTTGAGACATCATCGTGTTATTGTCTAAGCTGCGGTAAGATAATGGGGCAATATTATTGATCAATCGAATCTGATTAGTTTTGCTGACGTAATGGCGGGGTAGATGGTTGTCAGGAATGGAGGGTTTCCTCTGGTCCTAAGGACAGCTGGCCGTGGGAACAGCCAGCAATTCCTTCCTGATGTGACATGAGTTGCAGACAGCAGAGGCTGGACATTAATTTTGTGTCTGCCCACTGAATTCTTGTAGTGGATGTGGTCAAAGTTGCGTATTCTCTCCCTAAGGTTGCACAAGGTTAGGGTTTCCCTTTTGCCGGTTGTTGCTCCTGCTTCCACCTGTTTGAGCAGTGACGTCCTAAGGTTGTGTTGTTCGTCTTTGTTCACCTGGTAAACAGCAAACATGGAGAAAATGCAAGATTAAAGTCTCAAGATCTTGCGTTTGTCTCAGCAGTAGGAATGTATGTTGAAGGGCTCGACAGTTAGAAACAGAAGAAACCCTCCTAAGCATCTCACCAACCTCGCAATCCACTGCAGATCACAAGTTCGCGCACGCGGTTGACTTGTACACACAAGCGCTAGAAATAAGAAGCGACAATGCGATCTTATATGCCAACCGCGCGTTTGCACACATAAAGCTGGAAGAGTATGGCAGCGCAGTCGAAGATGCGTCAAAGGCGATCGAGATCGACCCTTTGTACCCAAAGGTAGGCTTCCTTCTGTCCGTGCCTTGTGACTTATCTTCGTGATACGTGTGATGTCTGCGCTCTTGTGAACATGCTTCGCAACACGTGCAGTTTCTGCGTTGCTTTGAATGCGCTTCGCCACTGCATTACATCATAATACTTAGGTTTGGGGTTTAGGAAACGTTAGTGTTGGTGGTTCTGAGAGTATCACAAGCAATCTGTGTGTGGGGGGTAGTGCAAGTTTCTCGAGCAACAGTATTGTATCAGAAGATGCAAACTTCTCGAGCAATGTGAGCAGTCAGCGTCTTCGATGGCCTTCTGTTTGCAGTAGCGATTCTGTTGTTTTTTCTTACTTCCTGAAGTCCTCGTTTGCAGGGATATTATCGGAGGGGAAGTGCTTATGTAGCGCTGGGCAAGTTCAAGGACGCTCTCAAGGACTTTAGACAGGTAAGCGCGGAGCCTGTCAGCTGGTTGGCACTCGGCAAGCCTTTTGATAAGTGGTTCACTGCTTAGCAGTGCATGATCAAAAGGAGATTGCTGTCCAAGATCAAGAGGGTGCACTTGTTGTGTTGGACCCTTGGGCTTCGAGTTGGCAGACACACTGACAAAGTAAGTTGTTGGGATTCCCTGCTCGGGCAAGTGTCGTTGGAAAGGCAGTCAGAATCAAAACAGCTTTTCGGTTTAGAGGAGCTGAGGCGTAAGGGAAAAGAGATCCAACAATCTGGAGTCAAGCAAGAAACGAAAGTGCTTGTAAGACTAACGTTACATGAAACATATCACAAGCTCGAGGGTTTGAGAAGAAAAAGAAAGCCACAAACTCCCCACCTTGACATCCTTGACTCGTGGCTGCAGGTTGCAAAGATCAGGCCTCGAGACCCCGACGCTCAGAAGAAGCTCAAGGAATGCGAGAAGGCGGTGCAAAAGCTCCGATTCGAGGAGGCCATCGCGCAGGAGGAGCAAGACCATCCGTCTGTGGCGGAAACGATCGATGTCTCGAGCATGGGTGAGTAACGCATAGTCCAAGAGGGCAAGATGCAGTTGTAAAGCACAGGAGATGGATCTTTGAAGCGAAGCTGTGAAACTTGCTGGTAATAAGGTGTTAGCTTGTTTGCTGTTGGCGTTGCCTTGCAACGTACTGGTTGCAGGGGAAGTCGTGTTTTTCTTCTGTCGTCTGTTGTACCGCTTGCGAGGCCTAATTCGTCTTGTACTTTCGTCAATGGGGCAAACTTAGTCTTCAATTTAGGCTCCTGTTGAAACGCTCGCGAAGCCTGGTGCGTCTTACGCGTCTCTCAAGCGGCCAGATTTTGCTAACGTTTGCCTAGGGAAGTTCGCTTTTTGGAGCGCAAACGTTTTACCTCACTAAGCGGCGTCCTTGCCTGCCTGGAAAAGCAGGCTGTTTATTGAGCTAAGTAAGCATTCTTGTACCGAGGTGTTTTTTTCGAGGTTCTTTGCTTCGAATCAAGATTGCGCATTATGATTTGACACCTTATTATCATCTCGAGTACGCCCGGTAATGACGCATTTTATTCGTTCTCTGATTGGTCGAAACCCTTTACCATTGACTTCGTTGACTACGAAGACACTTCATTTAAAGCGCACCCCACCCTAGATCGAAGATTAAAAAAATGGACACCGTCCATCTTTCAATCCAACGGCTTAGAATTATTACCAATTGTATCTATCGCTCCGATTGGCTACGCTAATTAGAACTCGTGTCGGCCGGTCTCCCCTAACCCACAAGGGTTCATTCTGAAACCCCAGAAAGAAGTGTCAGTTTGAGTGCAAAAATGGACCCCACTCTAGTTTGACACTTGGCCAAAAATCGGAGCTAATTAGCCAGGTGATCCGGCACGAAAGCCGAGTAAGGTGGCCATTCTCATTCTTGTGTATATTGCAGAAGTGGAGCCTGCCTACGATGGGCCTCGCTTGGAGGGCGACCAGTTGACCCTCGAGTTCGTCAAGGAGATGTTGGAAACTTTCAAAAAGCAGAAGAAGCTCCATCGAAGGTGAGGGCTTGTTCATTTACCACGTTTGCAACAAGAGCGCTCATGGTGCACCTCTACGGGTCAGAAACGACTCGGTGATGAGGCCAGAACGGCCACGGAGACTCACGCCACAGACCGTTGGCAATCTTATGTATTCTACACGTCCGATCATTTTTGTTTATCATTCTGGTTTTTGGCAATCTGGCACGGAAGGACCTTCAGTGCAGCATTTCCGTGGGGATGCCTTTGATTCGATTAGCAAATGTCGCACAAGATCCGCACAGAACACTGACAGCATCTACGATCGGCTTGCGCAGGTACGCGTTCCAGATCCTGCTTCAGATACGGGAGATGCTGAAAAGCACGCCGACTCTGGTGGACGTCACGATCGCCCCGGGGGCGCACTTTACTGTCTGCGGAGACGTACACGGACAGGTATGTCTCCCGATGCACACTGAGCAGTACAGATATCATCTCAATTCCACTGCTTTGTGCTGAGCGATCTTCGTCTTTGTACCGTTCTACAACGTACTCAGGTAACTGCGGGGGCCTGACTCTAGAAGTGGGAAGAAAACTCTTCGCGGTTCTACCAGGTTCTGCCGCACGATAAGATCGGCAAGCCTTGGCCGTGCGTCCGGCCCGATTGTGCTGTCCCTTTGAGGCACACCTCCTGAATTCTTCTAAGCTTTTGAATAGTGTGAGCTCTAGGGCAGGCTTCCTAGAATTCGTTTCCTATCAGGACCCCCTTAGATCGACGATGGGGTCGTCAGGCCGCTTATTTTGGACCATAGATCAAAGATTCATAGCCAAAGGGCTTCTGAGAACGCCACTGCAAGTCCACCTTCTCCTTCCAACGGTTCTGTCGACCCTCCCGTAAATTTCCGACAAAGCTTCTGATCGTCCACGCTTGATCTACTCGCAGTTCTACGACCTCCTTAACATCTTCGAACTCGAGGGCCTCCCCAGCCTCGAGAACCCATATCTCTTCAACGGAGACTTCGTGGACCGGGGGTCCTTCTCCGTCGAGGTTATCTTCACGCTCTTCGCCTTCAAGTGCCTCTACCCCACCGGTAAGTCTTAGCATCCCTTGCTGACGTTCTGTTGGAGTGCGTGGGGAAGGTGCTGATTTCTTTGAGGTCCATTTGAGATCTGGTCCATTCTGGTCCGTCGAGGTCATCTGCACGCTTTTCGCCTCAAGTGCCTCTACCCCACTGGTGAGCGCTTCCACTGGGCAAAGGGTTTGTCTTGTTCTTATTTGAGTGCGTGGGCCTGCTTCCCGCTCCGTTCCGGCCCGAGCGGCATCCGCTCCGGTCGGTATCGTTCGGTTCCGATTATTTTTGGTGAGGTCATCTTCACGCTATCCGCCTTCAAGTGCCTGTACCCCACCGGTGAGCGCTTCCACTTAAGCAAAGGTTTCGTAAAATTCTCGATTGACTGCATGAGACCGTTTTTGGGGCCTGTTTGAGATCTGTTTCCGTATCGTTCCGTTCTGTTCCGGTCAAGGTCAGTTGCACGCTCTCTTCCTTCAAGAGCCTTTACTCCATTGGTCAGCGCTTCTCGCTGAAGCAAAGGGGTCGTAGTTTCCTCAGTCGCATGCTTGAGACGCTCGGTTGCATGCTTGAGACGCTTCCGGCTCTGTTTTGGCCCATTGGCTTCGGTCCAAGGCCTTCGGAACCGGCCTACACCTCTCTTTCAAAACAATAGGAGAAGTAGCACTGGAAGCGCTCGCCCCTGAACGTACAATCCTGCCCCGCCGCGCAGGCCTGTACTTGTCGCGCGGCAACCACGAGAGCCGCAGCATGAATAAGATCTACGGCTTCGACGGCGAGGTGAAGGCCAAGTACAGTGACAACATGGCGGAGCTGTTCGCCGAGGTGTTTTGCGCGCTCCCGCTCGCGCACCTGCTCAACAACAAGGTTCTGGTCGTGCATGGGGGCCTCTTCAGCCAGGACGGGGTCAAGCTGGACGATATTCGCAAGATTGATCGCTTCAGAGAGCCTCCGGATGAAGGTAAGGCGGGCGGTTGTTTGCTTTTGTAACTGCTCTCTGTAGGGAGTTTAGGCGGGTGTTTACGGGTTCTTGAGATTGTAGAGCGTCAAAGAAAGGTGACAGGGCGGAGTTAAGCTGGACGACATGCAGAAGGTTCCCCGCTTCAGAGAGCCACCGGATGAAGGTGAGGCGGCGGGCGGTTGTTTGCTCTTGTGACTGCTCTTGTGGGTTTTGGGGAAGGTTAGGCGCGCGGTTATCTAGGTTTGTGACTGCTTTTGGCGGGTTCTTGAGTTTGTGGAGCGTCAGAGAAGTGTGACAGGACCTGGTTGAGCTGGACGATATCCGCAAGATACACTGCTTCAGAGAGCCTCTGGAAAAGGTGAGGCGGGCGGTTATTTATGCCTGGGGCGGTTATTTATGCCTGTGACAGTTGTTTGCGGGGTGCTTGCCTATGTGTGGCGTCAGAGAAGGGTGATAGGACGTGGTCAAGCTGGACGACATCCGCAAAAGTGATCGCTTCACGGAGCCCCCCGCTGAAGGTAACGCGGAACCGTGCTTGACTGGTTTTGGCTGGTTTTCGATCATCAGAGGAGGATCCGATTGAGCTCGACGATATCCGCAAGACCGACCGTTTCAGGGAGCCCTCGGATGAAGGTGAGGCCTTTGCTTTCGACTTTGTTGCTGCGCTTTGCTTCTCAACCCCTTGCTTCGCTCTGCTTTTGGCTTTGTGTAGCCGTCGTGGTTGCAGAGCGTCGTAGACAGAAAGTTGAGAGTTGTGACCAACCTTTTGCTTGATGTGAGACAATTGCTTGGTCTCCAGTTGCCCTCCTAGCTTCAAACAGGGGAGAATCTTTCCAATGACGTTTGCGGTCCGGAAGGATTGCTCAGAGCGGCTTCTGGGTTTCACACAATGTCCAGCGCTTTGCAATCGTGAATGACTGCGATGCAAAGCGTGAATAAGTTGCCCGCTGTTAAAGTCGCACAGGGTTGAATCTCCGAAACGCGGATCCGACAAGGCCGGCTTGGAATCAAGGCCAAGGGGCCCTGCCTTTCGGTAAGCCCAGATTCTCAGCCCTTCTGCCCGTCTTTCCAGGCCTGATGTGCGAGCTGCTGTGGAGTGACCCAAAGCCCGGCACCGGTCGCAGCCCGAGCAAGCGGGGGGTTGGTGTCGCGTTCGGGGAGGACGTCACCAAGGCGTTCCTGGAGGACAACCGGCTAGGTGAGCGCAAAACGCATTTCCCTTTTTCCTCTCAGGGAAGAAGCTTTCTGCTTCCTCGAAGACACGAACTGCTGCCATTTGCGGCCGTCGTATTTATGGACAGCTTCGACAGGCTTTCTCACCGTGTGTTTCTGGTCTTCTTATGGCCAGCAAATTGAGGAGTGGGTATGGTCGTCAGAGGAGCTGCTATGCGCCCGGGTGTGTTCAATTCGACACTTTGAAACTCGGTTGTGCTGCTGTCTTCATCTTCGCGCCCGGTTTCGGTGCCACTCGGCGACCGCGGTTTGTTGTTGCCAGGTTTGTTTGTGTGCCGGAGCATGCCTGAGCCTGTTTTTATGTGCGCCCTTGACTCTTCAAGCTGAGCATTGATATCTGTTCGCAGACCTGATTGTGCGATCGCACGAGGTCAAGGAGGAAGGCTACGAGATCGAGCACGACGGGAAGCTCGTGACCGTCTTTTCCGCGCCCAACTATTGCGACCAGGTGAGCAAGCGCCGCTTTCAAGATACTCGCTAACCTTTACTGGGGGCTTGGATTTACCATTGGAACAGCGCTGCTGTCACTCGTACTTGTCAACGGCGTCAGTATTTCAACGACTTGGATTCTGCACGACTTCTGAGGAGAGACCCAGCATCGTAAGATACTGAAAGGACCGGCACGTCATACTCACTTCTTGTCACGCCAGCGGAGCGTCTCAATTATCGTCACGACGAGCCGTTTGGACCTCGAAAAACAATTCTCTTTTTCGATTCTAAAGGTATCGAGGCCTTCCGGGAGGTTCTAAGTTGGCTTCTGCAGTCTGGTGCATTCGCTGGAGAGGCTACGGTGCTACAGTCGTACCCTTTCCGTGTCTGTTGTCATCCCTTTACATTCCTTACCCTCCAATTCTGCAATTTCGTATTAGGCCTGATGCTAGTACAGCCCCTGCGGTAAGCAAACGAGAGTCTTGTTCAAAATTGGATGCGTTTCAGGCATCTTTCGACTTCATACTGTTTTTGTAAACCTCTTAGTTGGACCCTTCAGTGCAATTCAGGAGGAGCTACTTTTTGCAGAAAATGATAGTGCCTGGACTTTGGGTTACAAAACCGACTCATAACGGAGAAGTCGTAATTGCACGATCGCCAAACAGATGTGGCAGTATTTGAGATCGAAAGCAGAACCGCGACTGGGAATGCGCGTCTAAAGTTCTACGAAGCCTTTCAAGTTCCTCGCTTTCGTTCCTAGTCGCCCGGAAGATTTGCAAGTTTGCCAACCCTTTGCTGAAAACACCTCGCTCGTTTGTGCAGATGGGCAATAAGGGCGCCTTCATTCGCTTCAAGTCGGACATGAAGCCGAAATATACGAAGTATTCCGCAGTGGTAGGGACCGGTTCCTTGATTATTTTTGCATGGCTTCTTGTTATCCTGCTTGCATGTGTTGTTCTTTTTCACCCGATTTGGACCTGCTTTTGGAGCGAACTGCCAAAAACAGGTCAGGGAAGAAGGTTAGCGGCCATGTAGGGGGTCTCAACTTGTCTTCGTCATTTTTCGTCTTCCAATCTGTGGGTTAAGCTCTGGTTGTGCTGACGTCAAGCTCGTCCCTTGTGCAGCCCCATCCGAACGTGCGGCCAATGGCGTATGCCAACAATTTCTTGAACTTCCTGTCTTAGCGCTGGGCCCTGCGGGCTTTGCTTAAGCCCCCAAATTTGCGTAGCTCATACCACAGGTTTCGGAAGTCAAAAGTCCTTGGGAGGAGATCGGGACAGCTCGCAAACCGCTTGCTTGTAAGGCTGTGCCGAGGTAGTTTGGCGCAAGTTGCTCTCTTATTTTGGCTTGTGCGGAAGACCATCTTCTGACGTTAGGTATTCATTCTTCTGGAAGTTGGGCATGCTCACGAAGTGGAAGCTGTAAGCGTCAGAGCCTAAAGTAGTGAAAGTGAGTCGTTTTTAACGTGGACTAATTCGATTAAAGATCAGATCGCAACGCGGCCCGTTTGAACCTTCTTTTGGCTCATGTCGAAACGGACTGACACGAACCACCACTGCCCGAGCATTCGGTCAACGCCAACTTGACATACTTACATAACATGTCCCCTTTAGAAGCTCGGGCCTAACATGGCAAGTCACTGCATGCCTAGGCGTTCCTGACACATTGGCTTGTCACCGTCTGGACTGGTGCCATTCCATTCATTCAATTGATTTCGTTGAGTACTTCTCTAGACGGTAAGTTCAAGATTAAGTGACTTGCAACTTTCTTCAGTGTCTGCCCAACGGGTCCAATGGAGAGTCCGAATCTGCCTATACCGACAGAAACCAAGCTGGCCTAGTCACTAGCTAGTGCCACAAAATCCAAACCACGAAACCCATATTCAATCATTGAATCAAAATGGTATGGTAAAGTTGTCATGCATGTCAGCGATTTTTGGATCGATGATATTGAGCTGATGTGTAATTTGATTGTAGCAGGCCATCCTTGTGATACAGACTCGAGGCCCCACCGCGTCTGGCCTGCCGAATCAATATCCAACTACCCGGGACAGGCCGCCCGATCGACTCAAGATCTGCGGATGGTTAACTATAGTTATCTAACTTAATGTGTGCATGATATATCTTGAGCTCATGCCAGCCAGCATATGCGCATGCAGCTCACCAAGTGCGTCGGATCATCATCAAGCACATGCATATATAACGGTGATCCAATGCAACCAACTCTGACATATCTTTTTGAACGGAAGCAACGGCTACTATATCTCATAATCTTCATCAATCGTCCACCTGTCATTCCGTTCCAACAAAGGTCTAAGCCTGTGCATCAATACACGACAATCAGTATCCATCCCATGCAACTCTAGTGCGTACGGTCAATCAAGCTGGTGTTAGGTTCAAACAAAGTTGACCGGACGTTTGAAATCTCTACTCGCAGATACAGCAAAGAGGCTTGAAGCTAACCCCCTTCAAACCTGGTGAATAAAGGTATCGCATCTGGGCCTAAGTTCACAAGACATACAGGAACCCTCCGAAAAGCAACAAGCGCTTTATCCACAATTGCGAGCAAGCGCAACGACCCTTGATATAAAAGCTTCTGCAGTACCTGCCTTCGCATTAAACTGCTCTCCATTCCGTACCAGCCCGGACAGGGCCGCCAGACTAGAAGCCAACCTCAGACGACTACGAAAGAAGCATCAACCGAGCCTTATTACTTTGCCGAACAAAGGTACTACATCCTGCGTATTACTACTGCTACACAGGAGGGTCATGCAATGGCAGCCTATTCTACGGCTCAGATTGCAACCTGTGGCAAACGACCACTTCGATCAGCACTAACTTTCAACCTCCCCCGCTAATGCGCTTTGCTTGCTTCTGTTGCAGCCCCCGCCCTCGTCGTGGGCTTCCTCTTCCGCATGACTCTGCTGAACGGCCCGACCGTCGGGTCCGTAATGTAGTTATAGATAACCCGCGACCACGACGTGTGGAACGCCAGGTTGTCGTAGAACTCGGGCGCCATCGCCTTGAGCTTGTGCAACCGCGACCCGGGAATGCGCGGGAAGTCGTGGTGCTCGTTGTGGAAGCCGACGTGCCACAGCAGAAAGTTCAGCGGGCCGTAGTACGAATACGTCTCCTGCCCTTGCAGGAACACGTAGTGCTCCGCAATGAAGTGCCCCGCCGCCGGGTGGAGCCCACCCCCCAGAAACGAGGCCAGAAGCAGATACGCGATCGGCTTGAACCCCCAGAAGTAGAGCATCGCCAAATCAGCCACGACGTTGATCGCGAGGTTGCTCAGCTCCCAAACCCCCACCGGTTTCGGGTTAACGAACACGGGGCGGATCGCGTAGAAGAACAGCTGGAGGATCACCCACACGAGCTTGGACAGCGTGTTGGTGACGTAATGCCCCTCGGCATACGTCGGCACGTCCATGTCGACGCCCTCGATCCCCTGGTACCGGTGATGCTCCAGGTGGTACTTCTGGAACGTCACCGACATCGGGATGCCGATCGGAATGTTGGCAAACAGCCCGAGGAGCTTGTTGTAGAGCGGGGTTTGGAACGCGAGGTTGTGGGAGAGCTCGTGGATCGCGAGGAAGAGGTTGTGGTTGAACCACGCGCCGACGGCGTACGCGAACGGGACAAGGAACCACCATGGGGCGTCGCGCATGAGGTACGCGAGCGCCAGCTGGCCGAGCACGACTGCCGTAACCTGCAAAAGTGAATGGAAGGGTTAAGTCAAGCTCAGGCCGGTTAGGAAATTGCAGGCTAGAATGTACCTCTGCGGATAAGCTATGCCTGCGCCAGCTGGCCAAGCACGACGGCCGTATGATCTACAGACGTTTACACGCGGGTTGTTTACGCTGCGTTTGGGTAAGAATGGCCAAAATGCAGGTTAGGAGAGCTTTGTGCGTTGGTTACAAAGGTTTGTATGCAAGTTCGGCAGGTTAGCATGCAGGTTTAAGAGGCTGAGAGACAGACGGCGAGGTTGTTAGTGAGCTTTACGAGTGCTGTTGAGCCATGATTATTATGATTTGCAGAGGTGGACAAGCGGTTTAGAAAGGTGCCGACAGGAAGAAGCTAGCTAGAAATATCAATGCAACTTTTGCAATCAGCCTAGACGCGGGCCAAAACAGCAAACAACAATAAAGGCGCAACAGATCAGTCTGTAGAAGACAAGACTCAATTGCAGCAGTTGATCCCCCCATTACAAAATACGGGCCTTCACATCAAACTTGACCAACCCTTGGTCGCAGAGAATACAGTAGTCTGCTGGCTCGACATTTGCAGCAGCAGTTGCCAACTTCTGACAGCGTGATCCAGAAACGCAACCGGGCAAGCTTATCAACTGGTGCAGCATTACAATGTGGACATTTAGCAGCCGCAACTTGGACACTAAGCTGCGTATAGTGGCGCAATTTGATCGAGGAAGCTTTTTCTGCTTAACACTAAAGTCACTGGCTCACGCAGACGGTCAGTTGAGAGCTCCAGGCCTCCAATTGAAAGGGAACAAAACCCACTGCTCTCTACGGTATCACCCTGTCAATACTTTAAGCTCATAACGCAGCTGCAACCGAGGGGGCCAGGGAGATAACGAATAGGAGGCAGGTAGGATACACAAACTTACATAGTCGGCCAGAACATATGATTTAGTAGGGAGGGCAAATTTGGAGCATGTTGCACATTTCAGTTGACAGCCTCAGTGGCGCAAGCAAACGCTGCTTATTTCTGAGTCAGAGCCTCATCAGGAGATTGCTCATCTGAGCCGCGCAACCGGACCTACATCCTACATGACATTGCTCCAATCTTCAGACGGTGGGCTCATCTGATGTAATTCTGATGATACCTTCGGTTACTTGGTGCTGCTCCCAAAGTAGACCAAAGGAACCCCGACTGAAGCTCAAGCAATCCTGCCCCTCTGATCAGAGATCTGCAACAAGTTTCAAGCCCCTGAACTAGAAGAGGAGATGAAGCAGATCGAGCCTCACCTTATAGACCGCATACTCGTCAGGTCCAAACAGCTCCCGCACCTCCGGATGCGCCGCCAAGATCTGTTTCCGCCTCGTTGCGTGGGGCTCATCCGTTTCCACCCATATGAAGTCAGTCTGCATCCCCTTCGCTGACTTGGCCCCCGCTACCTCTTCCATTTTTGGCGGGAGCTCCGTCACCTTCCTGCTGTCTCCCCCCTTCCCCATGCTGACCGCAGTCCCTGGGCCCCTCTGAATCAGTGCAACTCTGGCTTCCCTGTCAGCTCACTATCTCAAAGAGTGCACCAATCAGAAGATTGCCGCACCGCTGCCAAGCGTTCAAAACCCCCTCCCTTCCTGCTTCCTTTATCAGACGTTTCTGTGGCAGCAACCTACAGGTCTTAGAACGACGAAGCCCTGATTATGAAAGGGACCGCCCCTCAGTCAGCTCGCTCCTAGGTAATGGCCGCTGGTGCAGGGCAACTTCTCTACCTGGCTGGCTGTACTGCTGCTGCCCAGGGTCACAAGCAAGTCACAGCTCTAAAACTTTCAGAGAGACGACCAAATTGTTCGAAATTGAAATTGAGAATTTGAGACCGAGACGCAACCGTCCGACCCTAGCCTAACCCAAGAACCAACCGTTTTTAACACTCGACGGAACGCTATGTTTACAATGGCTTGATTGCGAGGACAGTGTCAAAGATTCCAGCGTCGAAACCTAGGTTCGTAATATAAACCCGTGGGTATTTGTCGGTTTCCATTTTCGAAGCAGGAAACAAATGAACATTCCAAACTAAAACAGATTTCATGACGTCACTGATTTTCAAATCTCGACCTGCGCGCGCGGTCAGGTCCAGCCAATTTACTTTCATGGGGGGGTGGAATTCAATATTGCTCCCGGAAGGAATCGCCGGTCCAGTCAGGTCCAGTCAAAGCGGAGAATATCTATACTTTAACGGCATGCCATGTACTGATTCTAAAGTTCATGCACCCGGTGATCCGTCCAATCCAATACCAGGGGGGCCAAGAAACGAGATCCAAGCTCGTACGCAACGTGGCGAAACGTGAGCCTCGCTTGACTTAATGTATCTTTCCGCCGGTCTAATGTCCGTACAGCCGTACTGCCACGGTGGCAACGGGTCTGTTGCATGCAAGCCGCGCCATGCAATATATGCAAGCCCCGGCCGCGCTGATCGTTGGATAGGATGCGCGGGGCCGCGGGCGCTCCGCAGTACTGAAGCGGACGTACAGTGGTGCACTTTGACGGTACCATATATAATACCCTACTGTTATAGTGACTATAACTTGCCAGGTGAACTCCACTCACACCCATGTGCAGCCAGACGTTGGACCCGCAAACCTTCGATGGCGCGAACGTTTTGTCTCAGGCACGCGCGTCAGAATGTGTTGATTACACCGCTACATACATGGAAGCCAGCTCTGCTTCGGTGGTAACCTCCGTCGATATCTTACACGTGAAGTCCGCTTCCCGCCATGATACACACGAAGTCTTTTCATGAGAATACCCGTTTTTCCGTGAACGACAGTCCTTCGTTGGTCAAGGAAGCAACCAGTACAACTATATATTGTTGATGCCTCGACCTTTCCCAAACACCGCGTGTCTACATCAATAGATCATACGTTGAAGTCGCACTTCGACGTACTGGAAGCTAGCACGAAGTGTTCAATGTTCCTCCTATTTTGCTCCGTTACTGCCCCACGTCGACTAAACCACATGATGTGAGAGCCAAAGTCACACGGGAGTCACACATCGGTACACACTCGTGTCGATCCAACCAACTTATTTCATGCATTTCACGGGCCATTAAAGCTACGCACTCAACGACCAGATCATGATAAGACCGTCGTCATCCGTCGAGATAAGCTTCCTGGCGTCCGGACTGAACTTGATGGACCGGACGGTGCCGCTGTGTCCGAAATTCTCGGCCAGGAATTGGCACGCGGGAAATTCCCACAGCCGAATTGCGTGGTCGGACCCAGCGGTAGCCAGGAGCGCCCCGCTGCAGAATCCAGACAACATTTTTATGACCCTTTTCTTATGAAACTTTTGCAAATGACGGAACAGTGCTGTAGGCGTTTCGAAGCGAAAGTGTACCTTCGTGATCAAGACTCCGCCTGAGAACATGCGGGATGACGTTAACTGCACGCTTTGACTGGATGCAGTGAGCACGAACCCCTCTGATCCTCTTACCGTCGCAGCAGTATTCTACTTTTGAGTTCCGCAAGAAAGATCCTGGAGCCGCAAAAGGGTCTCAGGCACCGAGATCGATATAGATCGTCACGTTGGCAGCATGATTATTTTGTCACCTTTTTCGTTTGCCGCGTCGTTATCCATCTCGAGATGGCGAAACGTTCGTTACAGAAAAGATGTGACCAATCCAGACACACGAGCCGCCTCTGAACATAGTCACCCCTACGCTGGGTCGGCAAGCCCTCCCCTCGTGACGTTGCACGGCGCCAGAGCTGACCTAGCATGACGTCACTCTCTCACCTGGCGGAAAACGCAACGCAGGTCGGCTCCCCGGTGTGCGGCTCCGGGATGCGGTGCACCGGCTCCGACTGCCGCAGATCCCAAACCGTCACGTGACGGTCCTGGCCGATGGTTACCACTTGGACCTGAAAAGGAAACGAAAAAGAAAAGAGAGAGTGAGTCGATCGATGAAGCGAGTAACGTATTGCACAGTGCACGAGGTAAATGACACGAAACTGTGAGACGCCGGATGCTTGCGACCAGAAGAACGACAAACACGGATAAGGTTGTTGTTTTTGTCCGCCTTGTTCCATGTTGCCGAGTTACTTCGGGTGAGGTGGATTGCGGTGCTGGACATGGTCTCGTGAGGGACAAACTTATGTCTGCGGATCAGCATCGGCTCTTTGGTAAGCGACCAGTTCACACTCAAAGCAGAGGCACAATGGACGGGTCCAGATCTGTCGCTTCAATAACTCTCGTGTAACCTAAGAGCCGTGTGACCTAAGATAGGCACCCGGGGGACGGGTGGGGTTGGTATGGTGGTTAGGGTGGGTTGGGGTGCGGAGCGGGTGTTTACATCGGTTAGGTTTTCAGTTTGAAGTGCCCGGGTAACTTGTATCTTAGGTCACACGCCCGTAAGGTCACACAAGAGTTGCCGGTATAGATTGATCCGTCTCGTTCTGAGTAATGGAGGCAAAAGAAAGTGACCGGCACTGTCTAATAAGAAACATTATACCGTCCGGGAAAAGCCAGCCAGGTTGGTTATCTGTTCTTCCCGCACCAGAAACTCACCTTATCAGGGTGCACGGCCATCCCGTTGATCGCCCCCCCTTTGTGGATTAGGGTCTTGACGCTTCGCTCCGTTCTCAGGTCCCACAGCTGTAGGCTGTGGTCGCGACTGCAAGACAGCACCTGGGTTCCGCCGCTCATTTCTGCCAGACCGGTTATCCGCGCCTGCGGAAAAGGGACGGATCGGATCAGGCTAAACCGGGGTTCGGCGTGCGGAATACCGGACGGGTCAGAGTGGCGAATACTAGCAGAAACGGACGCCGCACGGCTGACGACGGCGCACTTCTTGGGTTCCAGCACAACTGGGTTCTGTCGTAAATTGGATATCGATAACCTGATATTCCAACGATCCTGAAACCTTTTATGCGTAGTAATGGAACAAACACTTCCAGAGTTCTCTCGGCGACACATCAACTTCAGTTGGACATGCACTCGCAGTCTGCTCGACTTCCTACAATTCGTACGCGCTTCGTAGCAGACTTGGAGGCGCTCGATCATTGCGATCTGGCAGGAACGACTTGCCTCCGGGCACAACAGCTTGAACTCTTAGCCGCAGGTCTCACCACAATGAGGCTTCAGTACTTTCGGAATGATTGAGACCAATAAAGACTGAGCAACTGAGCCCGAAGTGTTTGTTGCATGTACCGTTGATATGAGTCCTGAAAGCGGATTTTGCTGTAGCTTCAGAAGCATGTTCACCGATACAACGGGACCGGAACTCTAGCGCATGACTTCCGTTGGATCCTTCTTCGCCAGGTTTTGCCGGACATTCTCGCACGAGTCTCCTCACCGTGTGCAGCTTCATATGCGCCTTCATCTGCCGCGTCCGTATATTCCACGTGCGTACCTCCCCGTGCTCTCCCCCGGTCACAATCAGTTCCTTTTCCGGCACCGAAATCAGCGCGGTAACGCCCCCGGGGTGCGCCTCAGGAATCGCCCATACTAGTTCTCCAGCTGTCGACATTTGGGGGTTTGGGATCAGCGAGGTTTGGGGGTTTGCATGGCACCGGATCTGGCCGTCGGCCCAGCCGCTGAAGCACGCGCCCGGCGCGAGCGCGACGCAGGTCGCGCCGCCGACGTTCTTGCAGGCACCCTGGAGGGGTTAAGAGCGGGGTTTATTGTTGCCCGAAAGAGACAAGATACGGCAGGGTCATGGAGGCCTTCTGAACGGTTGCTGATTGCAATCAGTGAACAGCTGCGAGAGAAGTTCCTTAACATTCTGAAATGCTGGCGAGACATTCACGAGAGGTTGTAGCAAGGACTTGCGGCTAGTATCAAACGCGGCCGCCCCGCCCTCTATAATTCCAAAACTGATCGCAGAATCGTGCCATCCGATGGTGGATAATGTATTCTGCGGGAGTAGGTTATTAGTCATGTTCACAAACAAGTGCGCGACGACACCGATAGGGAAGCATACCGTGCCGTAAGACGAACCACGAATTCTAGAGCAGATCCCAGCCGTAAAGCTAAGCGCATCGCAAAGGCGCGACCGTTCTCTCATGTTGAAGATTGACTAAGGAAGCGAAGTACGTGGTCGCTACTCAAAGGTGGTCCCTCACCTTCGCTACGCTTGAGTAGGAGTCGAGGTCCCACAGTCGCACGGATCCGTCGCTTGAGCAACTGCAGAGCCGAACGGAGAGGCTGAATGTGAGAATTGATGTCGAGAACGCGTGCCTTTGACCGTAACAAGTCCGCTTCGAAGACTCACGAATTACCTGCTCTTTTCCATTTACTTCAAGGTAAAAATCTTCGTACCCGAAGCCTCATGTGAATTTGCCTAAAATGTCATCCCTTAAAGCCTTCATGTTGTGGATTGTCTAGAATGTTATTCCTCAGATTAGCAAAACGTCCAGTCCAGCTTTGTTCAATTGAATCAATCAGTCTCCTTACACAGATATCTCTCTTCATCAGGCGGCAGCACTCAAAGCAGGGACAGGGGAAAACGTCAGCCGTACCTAGCAAACACGTCAGCCCTGTCCGGAAGGAACGCCGCCCCAGTCACACCCGCGGTGTGGTTCTCGCCAATCATCGTTGCCTCTATCTCCGGACGAGTGACGGTGTGAATGTACCCCTCGGCAGTTCCCACCAGCATCAGCCCAGCTGACGTGTCAGTCGCTGAGAGGGAGGTGACGGAGCCGGCGAACGCCAGCTTGGGCGGGTTGCGGCGGGAAAGGGTCCCAATCTCCACATGGCCTGGAGCAAAAAGATCAAATATATTCAGTAACAAAGTACGTATGTGCATTTCGCGAAGAAAGCCCGCTTACTTTGAATGCTTGGCGACTGCAAAGCCTCAGTGCAGCAAACTATCAGCCGCAGCTCTGACCACATAAAAGGTTTCGGTGCCACGTCTTCTTCCGGCCTTGCAGATGGCAAGAAACCACCTTCGGTATAAGAATCAATTGTCAACCTGGACTTACTCTTCCGCGATCCTCGCAGTACCCCAACCCCACTTGCTCTTCTGAAAAGGATGAAGCAGCGAAAACCCTTTGAACCCCCTGTGTGGCTCCACGTTCCTCAGTTCCTCAAAAGGCGCCAGAGCAACGACTCGAGCTTACCTGAGCCTTTCCGCTGCAGCGTGTTCGCCGCCGTAGCCGCCGTCGAATCTGGTGCGGGTACGACAGTAACTGTCCCGTCGCCTCCGCCTACCACGAACTCGGACCAGCGGCCGGCTGCGATGTTGTCCACTACCAGGAGCGTGTTCACACCGCGCGCGCACACGGGCTGGGTTGTGGACTGCAGCATAGATAGGTTAAAGTCGTGGTTAGAGTCACCGAGTTCCAGGTTGGGAGGACGATATCCCGCGTAGGGGCGCAGATAAAGACTTCGAAAGCAGGGCGAGCGGGTTGACAGCGAATGAGCACTGAGCTTGTATCGGGTGTTAGCGCTCGCGTGTTAGGAGGGCGCCCAATCGAATGTAGATTGCAACTTTCTAGTTTGTCGGCTTATGGGTTATCACAGCAATCAGGAACCGAAAGTTTGTGGTCTGGAAATTAGAGGCAGGCAAAAGGCGATCCCAAAAAGAGACCGGGGTTGGCAGGAATGCGATGAACCCAGGATTCGTTCGCAGCTTGTTGACGAGAACTTTTGCGTATCGTTCTCTCCTTGTCCCCAGGGAAGATGCACCTTGCTGCAACGCCTCTTTCTTATAAGAGCCCGAGCTTAACGAGTCGCTATCGTCGAAGTTTAGTGGAGAAAGACTGACTGGTGAAGTTGAGACATAAGAGAGGTCAAGGGTATAGATAGGACGTCAGCAGACGCTCACTTGCAACGTCAGCGTGGCGAGACTGAAGCTCGCCACGTCACCCGTGGTCGTCCCGGCGTGGAGCCATCTTGCGGCTTTAGCGGGCGCAAAAGCGAGCGACACATACTCTCGTACGACCGACCCCGTTGTGCACTTTGCGCTGGTCAAAGTGCCCCGGTTGGGGTCCAATATCCTGCACAATGGTTGGTTCCGTTTCTCATCCCATATCTTTCGATTGAAGTATAACTGCGTCGATCGGAGCTTTGCTTCCAGGCCGTTCCAAGAGAAGGTTCCTCGTTTTAAAGTACGATCCCGCACAGCTGTTTCTTGGCTCTTTAAATAACTGACTACTCTATATACCACAGCCGCACAAGTAAGTGCAATACGGAAGCTCGCTTGGAACGTCACAAAACGTCTCCGTTCCTGCTTCACCTGAAGTGATACGAAGGCGCACGCGGCTGGCGAAACTTGCGGATCCAGCTTAATCCGTCCGTGAATGTCGACCAAGGTTTGAACTAGACCAGCTCTCGGTTATTTTTGACACAAGATTTCATCGATTGGAAAGGCACTTACCATGTTAGTAGAGTTTTGCCTCCAGCCGTGGCCAATCGGTAGCGCCCGGTGTGCCTGCCCTGGCCATCCTCTTCCAACCCGCCCCAAGCAAGGGCCACCGTCGAGACGGGGTTGGCGGGAACAGACGCCACCTGTCAGAGGAACAGACATGTCATTCCTGGTAGTAAGTTGCTAATTGCTAACGTGGCAGAAGCAAGGTCGGTAACCAGCTGCCTTCATCCAGGCTGGCCGAACTTTTGCAGGCTAGGAGAAAGTCAAGGAGGCTTTTGTCGGTAAGACTGCCCGATTGGATTGTTTTTCCAAGGCATCGTTCAGGGTCATGTTGGTGAGCTTTGATGTCGATAAAATCGTGCCAGCTTTACAGACAAAGTGTACACTAGCTAGTACGTGCCAGCGTGAAGAGGACCACCTCAACAAAGAGCTTGATACAAAGCGACTCACGATGCAGCCGCTGCTTGTATCCCAGACGATCATCTTCCTGTCTCTGTCGTTCCCAACACTTGCCAGCAGCTTTCCATCGGGGGAGAAGGCGACACACGCAACTCCGAAGTCGTGCTCTGAGAGGCGGAATGCAATCGAGCGCTTGGCGTAGTTCCAGATGAGGAGGTCGGCGTTCTTGCCGGTCTGGCCGGAGGCGAGGAGTTTGGCATTGGGAGAGAGGGCCAGGCAGGTTATTGGAGCATCGTGGCCATGTAAGAACGACTGCAAGGGAGACGGACATAAGCAATTCTGACTAAGGACTTAGGACTTAGAACCTTTCATTATTTTTTCCTGTGAGTGTGCCTGCAGTTAGAGCAGCCATTGGCTTCCCGTGTGGTAAATACGCTGACCTTAACTCTTTCTTGTCAGTGAAGGGGACAGGGTGCTCTCAGGAGATCAGTTTTGATCGGATCTGAAAGCTGATTAGGTCAACCGTAAGGATTTTTAATTTGACAGAAAGATGATAGATGGAAGAAGATGGACGATGATGGAAGACGATTTCATTCATGACGATTGAGCTTGTGATAAGTCTCATTGACTGGGGGCCTCACTCTCCCCTCAGCAACTATGCTTGCAGCTGGAGTCAGGCTCACATTAAGGTGTGGCCAGTGTAACGTACAGGTGACGTACAAGAACTCTACAAAGCAATCTTTCATTTCCTTCTCGCAGGCCCCTCTATACCCTCTAGCTCATCAGTAATTCGAGCTGTTCTCCTGGACTAAGAACCGTATGTGAAACCGGGTTATCTTTCAAACCAAGCCCGAGAGTGCACCTAGCTGCCCGGACAACCTTATCAGCAACTTGCTATGCTTGACCTTCAAGGACAAGCTGCATAGATCTTGGCATCCAGTCAGATCCCCGTAAAGGGAGCAGCAGAGAAGTTTGGGCACCTTTTCCCAGACTCTTCAACTAGAGGAGGGGGTAAGGTCAAGAAAGAGTCCATTGCTGCTCACCTGGTCGGTTGGATTGGTGGTGCTAGCGATGACGATGCAGGCTCCAACTGCATAAGTCATCTCCGCCCCGCTTGGGTGAAGCTGAAGACCGCTCCTTATTTGGCCACTGCATCAAACACTGAGCTGACACTTTAAAAGCAGGACATTCAGTTGCTTTGCCGGTCCAGCTCCAGCTCGATTGAAATGCAGTTACATTCCAGTCGAAGCAAGCTCTTTGCAAAACACGAGCTTACTGCTTCCATTAGATTGGATCGGACAAGATTGCTGGGGCACTCAGACAAGAAGTTTACTTTGACCAGCTCTACGTATGTGCTTCCACATAGCGTTCTAAAAGTGGGTTTCCTGGCTACATCGACCAGTGTCTGACCTGAAGCCGGTCGCATGTTCCAAGGAAAGGCCCCAGGACCCATCAGTCCTGCTGTCCGAACCCATTCTTTCCACACGTCCCAACAGATTGCCAAACCCTAATCTTTCAACCGCCTGTCTATCGCCGCACTTTGAATTGAACGGTTCTTGGCCCTCTTCAATTGTTGCAATAGAAGCTGGGGAGCGAGGACACTGAATCTTCAATGAAGCAAATGATGGGTAATTTGAGTAGAGGGATCGAGACGACCGTCTCCCTGAACTGAAGTTCTGCGGAAGGAGGAGTGGACGTCCTTGCAGGGCATCGATCGCAATTGGCGCTGGTGAGGAGGAAACTCGTGCCCCGAGAGTGCTGGGGGGATCTGAACAAGGCACTCGCTGCCCGGAAGGTAACTTCCGACCACTTCTCAATTATTTCTCCCCTCGCAGAATCTCCCGGAGATATGGCCGCCCGGGGTTAAATTGACTCTACGCGCATCCAACCGGGTACTCAGAGCGTTGTTAGGGTTCTGATGCTGACTGGACTCTGAGTCTTATCTTGCAATTGCACTGTGCAGCTGTCTTCCGAGTTTCAGGGCTTGGACAACCTCTTTCCACCTTTCCCTTTAAAGAGCAACATTTCTGGTTGCGGCGCCAAGCAGAGCAAGCGGAAAGGTCTCCTGGAGGCAGCTTCGACTCTCCTCTTCTCGTTCATTCAACCTTAGTGGGACCCTTAGTGTGAAAAGAGGCGTGAAAGCTGGCGGACGATGAACGCCTCAGCGATCGACCCAGGCCGCGTCCTAGGCTACAAATTTGAGGAGGTGAGTGAAGGTGCCGAGAATGTACTTGAGAGCTTCACCTTTCATCGAGTGAGGAACTCTCTGCATTTAGGAGTTTGTGTATCTTGAGCGCCTCTCCAATGCTGCAATTTGGAGTGGAGAAATTTGGTGGTGTGGTTGAAGATTGCAGATTTCAGATTGGACTGAATGTGCAACTGAACGAGAACCATCAGAATGCTGATTACACTGTGTGGTTGATGCCTGCAGAGCAGCTTTGATTACTCAATAAGGTAAGTCCGGACAAAACTTACATTCACCAATCAAAACGTATGAAAATCAACCCACTGGATGCATGTATCTTAGAAGCAACTCTGCGGACATCAGAGCCAAGGAGGTGTGAGCGTAAGGTCTCTTCCCCACCGGGTTGTACATATTGGTAACCTCGTTTAAGTTCTTGCACGACGGCAGCCCTTTTAACAAGTTGGCAATGTCGGATTACCTAGAGAATACTGCTTGCTGTTAAAGGAAGGATCAGGGATCTCAAAACGGTTCTAACATGGAACATGGGGGACTCGCAGAAGGACTCACTCTTCTCCGGTTTCTCTGACAGGGACGTCATTCTGTATGCACTGGGAATTGGGGCTGCAGCGTTAGATCAGACAAACCCTGCCGAGCTTGCGTTTGTCTACGAAGGGGAGTCTGGGAGAAATTTACAGGTGTGTGACAGTGACGTCTAGTGAAGCTGGTGGTTCTCTTTCACAACCTCTTGCCTTTTGAATTGTAGGATGCAGTCTGGACTAGCTGTGGGTTCTAACCTGGGTCAAGCATCGTTTGCACACTAGAGTAGCTAGTTCAGTGCGTAATCAGCGAGGCCCCATGAGGCTTCCAGTTGAGATAGTAACCACTGCCTCAAAAGCTTTTTCAGTGATTGCTTATTACTGGTTTTCCTTGGCCAGGTGCTTCCAACCTTTGGCGTCCTCTTCCCGTCTTCACTGGTCTCAGAGCTTCTGAAGGTACCAGGCTTGCAGTAAGGAGACTGAAACTCTCGAGCACTTCTAGAGCAGAGACGTCAAGCCAGATGACTGCTTGCAACGCAGGAGGATGCAGCATGTTCCCTGACACTTTCCTTCATGTCTTCGTCCTGTTTACGAGTTGAAAGAGGATTGAAAGGGAAGGGATCAGGTGTATTAGTCACAAACACTTAAATCCGGAGTTCAAGCTTAACCAGGCGTAGCCAGTCGATAACACTCCACTCCGCTTATGCAGGTTTGATCCCAAGCTTCTTCTGCATGGCGAGCAGTACCTAGAGGTTCTACGACCCCTTTCGTCAGAAGGCCAGGTAAGCCTGGGCTGAAGACCTTTGCAAGGTCAGTAATCTGTGTAAAACATTGTTGGGTTGGATGTCAGCCAATGGAAGCGCCAATTGCTTGGACTCAAATGTAGATGGTCTCGCCCTGTCGAATTGCTTCTGAACTGGTTGCATGTCCAGGCAGATCATTGTTGAAGGCTGAGTTGCTCATGGCCTTCGGTCTGATGCTTGCCTTTTCAGAACGAAGATCGGAACTGGTTTCTTTTGCTGCAGATCAAGAACACGAGTTCCGTGACGGGCCTACATGACAAAGGTGGAAACTCACGGAAGCCAACATCCGATGTCTTCCAATGAATCTGATCAATTGCTCCTTGTACTGGAGTCTCTTCTTCCTCGTCCATTCCTGCCTTTGAGTTGCGAGTTGGTGTGAGGGAAGCAGACTTGCAGAAATCCGGAGTAATCCGTAGTAATCCGTAGTAATCCGTAGCATATGCCCCCCAATCGTGCATCATACCCGTCAAGATATTCAAAAGTGTTTTGCAGGCAAGGCGGCGATGATTGAGGTAGAGACCAGGAGTTGCGACGCCCAAACCGGGCAACTTGTCTGCATTAACAGGTGACGGTTGATTCCCGTGTCTTTTTGCGATGCTACAATGTTTTTGGTATTGCCGCTCTCTGCTCTCTTCGCCAATTGGATTTGTCGTGAGCTTCTGGTGCCTACGGTGGATGGACGAACAGAGTTGAAAGTGATGATTCGTGACATCTATAACGCCGCTGACGCACCCTGTTGGCGCACTCGGCATGCAAGCAGAGTTGTGAAGCAAGCGTCTTTCTGTTTCTTGATGTTTCTCCATCCGTCTTCTTGATTGTGTCTTTAACGGAGTCCCGGTCGTCAGGATTCCGTTACGGTCGCTTCTCATCGTCTTACGACCGTCGACGGTTCACAGCAGTCGAATCTGCATGCTCCTTCTCGCACCTGTCGAAAGCATCTGCAGGAATTTGAAACGAAAATATGGTTGCAGATCTACCTGTGTTTTGCGGGGTGCTGGCGGCTTCAGCTCGCATACCACAAGCCCTTCAACATCTGGGCGTGACAGCAGCACCTCCGCAAAACCCGCTAGGAGTTCCGCTGCTTCAAAGAGCGGCAGAAAGCCAGACTTGAGCCGCACACCAGACTTTGTGCATGAGGAACGGACTGCGCCTGACCAGGTGAGTAACAATGATCGAAGCTGAGAAAAGTCAGCCGCACCCGCATTTTTTTTAAACAAGGACATGAAGTCCGACGCATCGTTTCAGCGTTCGTACAATTGTCAGCCATTACGATCAGGCAGCTCCGTTTGCGTCGATCTGCTTCCCTGAACTCGATGTCTCTAAACGAATCTCAACTGCTGTCCAGAGGGCCTACTGATGGAGAACCTCTGGGGAAAGCCGACCAACATGCAGATGCACAGGAGTTTTCGAGAACCTTATCCTGATATGAGCGGATCGGCATTTAACTTCTTAGCGCCATGACAGCAATTCGACGGATATCATTTTCTAGTTGTCTTCTACTGCAGGCGCTTGTGTACCGCCTCTCCGGGGATCACAACCCCTTGCACGCCGACCCCGCGTTTGCGAAGGCTGCAGGGTACGTCTTTTCCGCTCCTGCGTCGTTCCTTTCGAGCTACGAAGAGAAAACTAAACACTATCTGCGTGGAGCTGGAGGGCGGAGTTGCTTGGTTGATGCTTGTTTTGGAATTGGTGGGATTTTGCCTGGATTGGAAAGTTGCAAGGAAGAACGGAGATTCCTTCTGTGTGAATTGTTTTGACCAATTGACGTAATGGTGTTACCTGTCCTTGTGTTTGCGTAACTATGCAGTCTTCTCAACCGATTTTACAGTGACTGGTTTCATTTGAAGCCCCAGCCAAATCGTCATCGACCACTTTCAGGACAAGACAATCGGCTGACATCCTCCAGATGTCATTTTGGACTTGATTTCGACATTGCAGAATTCATACCCGCTCTTATAGAAGGGAACGTTTTGCATAACCAGGAGTCGGATTAAGTCCCTGTCTTTCCGAACTGCTAAACGGTGCACACTTTCTTCGTGCAGCTTTCCCCGCCCCATTCTCCACGGCTTGTGCTCCCTGGGCTTCGCCGTCAGGGCCGTCCTGAAGAAGTGCTGCGGAGACGACGTGTCCCTCTTCAAGAGCGTCCAAGCACGCTTTCTTTTACACGTGTTTCCTGGGGAGACGCTTGTGACAGAAATCTGGCAGACCCCGGGCTCTACTAGGTAAGCTTTTCTTGCAGATGTTTTTGAATTCGTTCGAAGTGATTCCGGAATATTCGGTTAAAGTAGCCTCGACACGTAGCTGCAAGGATCGCACTTTTAAGAAATGTTGAAGGTGACCTTGAGAAACAAGCGTAAACAAGTAGAATCCCGCCTTCGCAGAAGCAAGCGGCTTCTGAGGCATCGTTCGCATCTGGGATCTTGTCGCCAAGGTTTCGATACATGCTCGAAGGTGGTAGATGAACTCAATCATGGGTACAGTTATTAGATGTTATTGCCGCATGGCAAAGTCGACGAAAAGAATATAGAAGCTACAACCAGCGGCCGAACCACCACTCTATTGTGTACGGTCGTAGACTAGCGGTCGATGTCATTCAGCTGTGATCTGACGTTCAATAGTGGGTAATGATATTGAATGTGAATTGATACAGAGCCTTCTGTCTTGGCACAAACACAGAGGAAAGGGATCAGGCTTGCAGGTGGACAGGCAATGAGCGGCCAAACATATGCTCCTTCTTTCGTGCTAGAGGGTCTGTTCCAAGTATCCGAGCAATCGAAACAGCGCGCTCCAGACAGGGCCTTCTCAACACTTTCCTCTTCTGGCCCTTGCAGTTTGACATTCAGAACGTCTGTCAAAGAGAGGCAGAAGCCGGTGCTTTCGGGAACAATCCGCCTGAATCTGGCGCATTCTCGCATCTGACAATTGGAAGAACTCAGTACAGTGTCGTAGTTGGTTGTGGCCTTTCACTGGTCTGTACACTAAATGTTGCGTAATTGGTGCGACTACCTACTTTGGCATGGTTGAGACGCGCATCAACCCTGAGCTACCGACACCAAGCCCTGATCCGGACCGTTATACAGCTTCTTCACAAGCAGGACTCAGCTCATGGTCCAAACTGTCAGGGAGGACTCCAATAACGCCGAGTAGTAAACTTAGAACAAGCTCGATCACGGAATAACCAGTGCTTTGGAGGTTACAAGCATAGCAGTCCATTGAACGATGAACTCTCCAAGTATTGTTATTCGCCGTTGACGTTATTCTTGTCGCACGCGGTCGATTGTCATGAACGTATTAGTACGTACTATGCTGGCGCAATCCTGCACCCGGGCAGTGCCCACATGTGTCACAGTGTGAAACCTTTCAAATTGTGTAGGCCCGGGCCCGCCGGCGCGCACCAAACTTACAGCAAGCGCGTTATATGATCTCTAGTTCGACTCAGTATAAGCTGCTGCGGTGCATTGTGCAGCTGAGACAAGCGCGCCGGCGCATGAATATTGCATGACTCCCTGCACATATTGGAAGCCGCGTTAAGGCGCAGGCTTTAAGTCTCTTCTTGGAGTGTAAGTTCGGGTAATGATGCAGATTGTCACTTAAGTTTCAGTACGTACGTTACAGGACAACATTGGCCGTTCCCCGATATCAAGCTTCGCATGCTCATCATGTTGCCAGTTGACACGAATGGTTGTGGCCGGGCTTGCAAAGCATGCATGGCGACTTGAACTTTAGTACGGTAAGGACTCACATCAACCGATACTAAGGCCGCGGACGTACTTTTGATATGCAATCGTTCCTAGGCTGCCAGTGGCGAGCTCGAGTGTTAAGACTCGAGTGTTAATACTGACATTCAATAAAACTTAACGCGGGCCGCGCGGCTTAGACATGCATAGCTGCTTAATTATCCGTTATAGACATCAATTAATCCCATGCAGTTTGACGACGTAGTGATGATTCTGAGCTTAGTCTCACCATATTTAGGCAGATATTTGGGAGTGTAGAGCAACACGTATAACACACAAGTAAAGTGCTCTCGACGAGCTGTATGCAAGCTGCAATCAGGCCGCGCTCAGGAGATGCTCCGGTCAGCGAGTAGAGTTGGAATGAAAGGCTCTCATTTCAGAACAGCTGATTAGCGTTCCCGTTTAGCATCTGCGCTCCATCCCACTGAACGCCTGCAACTCGCTTGGAACTCTTTGGGAACAAAAAACGTCTAGGCGAGAAACCCAGATATACTGATGTTTTCTGGCGTGCGGCTTCTGGGAACGAATTTTAAACGCACCCTTCAAAACATACTGCGCGTGCTTATTTGCCCTGGTTGGAAGCAGAAAGACCCAGATCCACTCCTCCCCGGGGAGTGGGGCTCTGCGCTCAATCATTTTTCTGATACAGAACCGCGGCAATATCGCGCTTATCCTGTAAGACCTTAGCTACTAGCGCCTGCTAATTGAAGTCGGTCCGGGCCTGCTGAAGACTGAGACACTTCCAACCGGCTCAAACCATTCCGAGTAGTACGATCCTACTGCTGGCCACCCGTTATACGGTGGAAGTTTGCTGAGTGCCGTCGCGCTTCGGGCGCGCGGCTTGGCGGCTCGCGGCACGGCGGCCGCGCTGTCTTCATTTCCCTGCGCAGCCGCTTCCGCTTTAGCTTTCGAGCTCCTCTTAGGCTACACGAAGCTGCACCTGAGTACACGTCACGCGTTGCCATCGTTGCTCGGCTTAGCCAGGGTCCTCCTGATGAAGTGAAAAGAAAGTAGCATGCCTGTCCCGTAGAATCCGCTTGTACGTGGACCGAAAATCAAGAAGTTCCAGGACACCAGGGTTCAGGTCGTGTTGGCTTGAAATTTAACCCCGGCACCGCGATCTGGTACTGTTCTGCTCGAGGTGGCGAAACGTAACTGTACCTGGACGTGTGTAAGTAACACACTGATCAGATGAGCATCTGGGCAAAGAAGCCAAGAAGCCTTCTTCGCTGGTCAAAAATGAGGCAATCTGTGCCCGTCATCTGACGAAAGATGGTGGCCAAGCAAACTCAACTCGATCGGGTTGGGTCAGACGCGTCTCATATATCTGCGGCGTCGTGAGTTGGGAAGTAGGCTGCTGCCGACTGGCAATTAGCTTGCGCACCATTGCCTGGTTCTACGCCGTCTGTGATTCAATGTACGCCCAGATTTGTGGCTTTAAAGCACCGAATCTAAATGAGGCAAAACAAGACCAATCGGCGTCAGAAGCCGGGCTCTTAGCATCGAGAGTCGGAATCAGCCGACGAGAGCTTGTGAAACCGTGACCTTGGTTGATTTTGGGTCTGATCGCTTTTAAGAGAATTTGTCCCGTCAATTCTCACTGTAACCTTGAACGCGAAGAGGTGTTTGAGACAGTGCTCACGACGGAGATCTCCCAGAGGACACCTCACAGCATCAGGTGACACTAGTGGAAACACATAATGCATCAAAGCTGCAGCGACAAGTGAGGAGTACGTGGCAGGTAGCCAACTTACATAAGCTCCGCATTATCACGGCCGCTCGCCGGCGGGGGCCTTTCCATGTCACCAGATTCTGAACGGACCGGCTTGGCGCCTTCATACGGCCGCTTCGAGTTCGATTCTTGCCGGGGCGATCGTAAGCGAGCCGGGACTTTCGTGGCCTTAAGCTTCCCGAAACACTTCCTTAGCTTATGCCTCCCGGGGCGACCGCTGAAAGTTGCTGAACGGGAAATTTAGAGGCGTATATCGATGGGATTACAGGAACCTGGTCCAGAAGGATCTGTCGGAAGTTCCATCTTCCGTACTTGGATTCTGAGAGTAAGGAGAGTCCCTGGCGTGTTACAGGGACAGAATCTCAAGGCAGGCCTTTACGTCTCCAAGCCGGCCTCTTGCGAAGCCAACAATTCTTTCTTTTGGGCCGAGAAAAGGGTACTCCAGCCAAACGTTCGACAAGCGAAGCCGATGATGCTGACGAGCTCAAGGTTCATGAAACTGGTACCATAACAACTTCGAGGCGATAAGCGATGGGCGAACGATTCTGATCATCAAGGGCTTTAAATTTGTCCAAGTTGAAAGGTGCAACCACGAAGGTCACAAGAGGCGCGAGTTTGGCGCTTGAGGCATGCCCACGGTTGCGTATCAAATTTGTTGGCGTCGTTCTAGCTTTCTTCCTGGAGAAACTCCATGCGATGTCAGCTCATCACAGCCTGTTCTCAGTCAAGTGTCAAGCTTACTCTATTAGGCACGTTTCAAAACGGATTTCAGTCCCCTTGTGTTCCTACACTCACTTCGGAATGCGCATATGAAACTGGGATCAAGTGTCCTGTAGCCGCTCGCAATGCGACAAAAATAAAGCCGCCCAGCTTAATTCGCCCACTCATATTTTGAGGTCTATTTGATCAGCGCAAAGTTACATCAAAGCCCATAAAAGATAACAAGACGTCTTGCGACAGAAGCCTGTCGCGGTCTCTTTCCTGAACCTGGAAAAGCTGCTGATCGAGAGTCATTCAACGTTAAAGCTTATTTCTGACGCCAACGACGTCACTGAAGACGTCATCGATCAGACATTTAAGAACACAGCTCGCCCAGATACCGAAAGGCAGCGGACTTGCTGATCAAAGTCCCACTGACAGACTGCCCAGAAGAGAGATACTGTGTGTGATTAGCTTCGCGCCGAAAAGAAGCGTCGAGAAACCCAGTGAGATTGAGGGACAGCGCCGTTTGCAACGTACCATGGCAGCCTTCCAGATTGCGACGGGTGATGATTTCTGAGGTTTTGACAGTGGCCCTGGCTTCCGGACCGTCCGACAGGCCTTCAAAAGAGAAGCCCTCTTTCCACTGCACGCTCAAGTTACTTTCTATTACTTTAAAAAGTAGAAAGCGAGCTTGCAGCTCCTTTTCTGGTTTGAAATTGAGCAGCACGGGCGTAAAAGACTGCTCGCTGTTGGTTCTAGAACCATGCTTATAGATAGTCTGGCACAGCGTACTACTAGGTCAGTCATCAACCAACGGCGACAACGTACAAACCCCTCTACGTGATCCAAACGGACTAGATGCCAGCCGTTCTATGACCAGAGGTCTTTTCGAATCCTAAGTATCAACGTGGCGTCAGATCCGGCCAACTTCATGTGGCAAGGTGCCAGTTTCTGAGGGTATCATAGCCACAACCGAATGCTTCGCAAAACGCAGTTGAGTAGATTGGCGGCGCGAGTACAGGTAGATCCATAATTTGCCTCGATTGCGTAACCGCTAGTGCTTCGAAGCTGACTGGCTTCAAATATCAAGTCCGTAGGGATCTTCCAAAGCTACCTGTTCTAGCTCGGCACGCACCATCGCATCTCAATAGGCGCGGCGATCAGGATTAGTTTCTAGGTCCTTCATGCTGATGAGAATCCGGCTTCAGAGAAGGATAGTAAGAAGGGCCCAAAACCATGGATCAGCTCCGAGACCCAATCGGCCGGGTCCTGGCGGGTATATCAGTGAACCCCACCAACAATCATCGATCTTCAGTGCCTTCCAGGAGACGCATGTAAAAAGACTCGTTGCGGAATTTTTGGCGCTGCGGCGCCACTCTTATGGTTAGAAGCTAGCCACGAAGAACTTGCGTATCGTTATTCTGATTTTTGGCATATACAGCCGAGTATGCGATGATAAACGAATCAGAAAGTTCGTGGGGAAATTGCTTCGTAAACGCGGAAAGACCTGGCGGAGTTAGAAAGGCTCGATTCACGATGCGAGGCTCTCGAAAGGACGAAAACGACGAGGTCCGATGCCTTTACTAGCATTACGGCAAGGACGGCTCGGGTCAACGCTGTGTCCTATCATACGCGTCTGGTGGCCGGGTTCTGCTTCCTCTGTCAAGCGACGGCGAGCGGAAAAGGTCGAAGGTGGACAGATGTCACAGGGTGGCATAGCTAGGAAACAGGCAGCCATGAAGGCTTCGTCGAAGATTTCGAAATTTTTGGCAAAGGAGTCGCCAGCTCGTGAAGTTTACAATTTGAGTGGCGGCAAGATTGAGATTGTTGTTCTTGACGCTTGACGACGTGGCCTCGGCCTGCGCATAAGACCATCTCTGAGCAGTGCAAACACGGCCCACTTGATGGCCGCCTCTTCATCGGCACTTATCTCCCCAGATATACAAAGTCCGCAGAGCAAAAAGAGAGACATTAAAGGATTCTACCGCATCCCTGTTGGGCTGAACTTTGGGGCAATCAGATCCATAGATGGAGGAGCCTAGTATGCTCATCGGTCATACCGGAGAGCTGGGCGCATCTTCCAAATGTTGCTACGTCTCCAAATTTGTTTGTCGAG